TTATAATAGTAAAGCTCTAATAGTATATTACCTAGCTCTAGTTTATAGTTATCTTAACCCTTAGTCCTTAGTAACTACACAGTAACCATTCACTTATAAATTAGTATAATAATATTATTATTATCAGACTATGGTATAGTCTAGTTACTATATTATCTTATAGATATATTAGCAGGGTTAGCCTTTTCTTTTTAATATTTAATAATAAAATTAAATAATATTAATAAAATTAATTAATAGGCCTGTCTGCTATTTAACTTTAGTTATTTTATAAAACCTTATAGATTAATATAATTAGAAAGGACCTTAATCTAATATATAGCTTCTTTAGTATACTAATACTAATATTTAAAGGAATAAATAATAGTAAATAATTCTTTATCTAGTATTATCTAATTAAGTTTAGCTCCTATAAACTTTCTTAACTAGAAGGCTACTAGATGCTATCTCCCTTATTTATCTAGTTAGGAGAGAATACTAGCTATATTATCCTTTAAGGTATCTATCTCTATCTAAATTAGTAGAGCTAGATTAAAGTAATATAATAGTAGTACTACTTAAAAGATTATAATAAGTTTTTAAAATATAAGCTTTTTAATAAAGTTAAACTTTACTAATTCTAGTTTCTTTCCTTCTTTTATTCCTCTTAGGAGATTAGTTAAAGGTAAAGTAATTAAGAAATAGTTCTTAATAAATTATTARTAGAAGTTATAGAAAYCTAAGAAGAYTTARATATTATARTAACTATAGGGTTYCTTYTATATAATAATAGTTTCTAYCTAGCTTATATCTATAGATATATTATCAGCTAAAATAATATATCCTAGGAATTTAATATAATTTTAGTAAAAGATATATTTAAAGGGTTTAGTATAAAGCTTTACCTTCTATAGTCTTTCTAAGACTTAAGAGATATATTTAGTATATTCCTCTCTTATTTAGGAGAAAATTAAGATATTATTAAGATAGGTAATATAAAAGATATTAAGAATATTATATAAGATARTATTAATATAATTCTAGAAGATRGCTAGTATATTTATAAGACTAAAAGATATAACTATATACTTATAGTARCTATATTARATATAAAAGGCTATCTTCTATTTATCTCYYTCCTTAATATAGATTTAATAATATATATCTTAGATATTAATCTTACTAAAGTATTTTGCCCCTAAGATTTAGTTAAGAATCTCTAATATAAGGGGTAATAAGTACTAATTCTTTATTATTATCTTATTAAGTCTATAGTAATTAATATATAGTCTTAATCCCCTATTCTTTTTTAGGATAAAGAGAATAGGGGCTCTAGTAGGGCTTTTAGAAGGTTAAATTCTTCTATATACTATATTCTTATTAAGATACTTCTTTAATTTATAAAGTTCTACTTAGGATAAGGGATATAGTGGATTAAATAGTAGTAATTTATTAGGTTTTATTTTAATAGTATAATCCTAAGAGGAATAAGAGGGTATAATCTTTAATTTCTCTATTAAGAATATATTATAAAACCTAGCTAATTCTAGAGGTATATTTTTAAGAGAATAATATTTCTAATTCTTCTCTTTCTTAGAAAGCTATATCTCTTTAGATAGCTTAACTAATATAAATACTATTATATAGTTATGATATAGTTTCCTAAACTTTTAAGGGGTGGTTAGGGAGAAGGTTAATATTTTAAACTATTATTAATACTTCTATAGTAATAAGTAGATATAGAGGTCCTATAATATAGTTATTAAAAGAAGAATAGGACTTTCTTTAGGTTATAAGTCTTAATTAATAGCTATATAAGCTTATTTAAAACTTTATTTATTATCCCTAGAATTATAGGTAATAATAGGGACCTTCTAAACCCTATAAGTAAGGATAATAAAGTTATTAACTACCCTAATAATAGAGATAGTAAGTTTAGCTTACTATAGCTTTTATAATTTTATAAAGATAATACTAATAATATTAACCTTAGCATAGCTATTAAGATTAATATATATTTTAAGGCTATTAGATAGCTATATTAGAATATAGAAATAACTAGTAGTCCCTACTTCTAGGTAGGAGGTTAGAGATATAGATTTTATTCTAATCTCTTATTATTTTCTATAATTAATTAGACTTTAGTATTCTTTATAATATATTAGTTAGTAAGATATTCTTTACTATTATATTTATAATATTTTAAGGGGTTCTTATCCTTATTAAGTTAGTTTTATTTAGATTTCTTAAATCTTTTAAAATTACTTTAGAAGTATTTTAATAGATTACTATCTTAAGGTTTTCTAATATCCTTCCTCTTCTATTTTTATTATTTCTATAGAAAGGTGTGATATTTTAAAGCTATAGATATTATTTTATCTTAAGTATCTAGTAGCTTCTCTAGGTATTCTTAAATATAAGTATATAACTCTAGTATAAGGCTATTAAAGAAGGCTAGAGCTTATTACTTCTTATCTTATTAAGGAAAATATTATTCTAGGGAATCTAGATAATAATAAAATTCTCTAGGATCCTTATCTAGATATTAATAAGCCTAATATAATTTAATAATAATATTAGCCTTAATAGTTTTAGTATCTTAGATTAGACTTAAGGTCTAGTCCTTAAAGAACTACTATAAGTTTTTAATATTTTATTATCTCTCTATTAATATTTTATAGATTTTAATATACTATTACTGCCTGCAGGTGGAATCTATTTATATAATAGTAGTAATAATTTTAAATTTATTAGAGCTATATTTCTTTAGGACTTCTTAGAATATATATTCTATATCTTAGAGCTATTCTTCTCTTTTCTAAAGTAAATATTTAATAATAAAGATAGGAAGATTCTTAAATTTAATTTCCTACTTATCTTCTATTAAAGAGAAGGTATTATTTTAGTAAGAGAGTTATTTAGATTTATTAACTCTTTAAATTTATTAAAGATATTTAAGTTTAGTAATTTATTATAGAATTTATTATAATTTAGCCCTCTTTAATCCTTAAGGTTAATTAGTAGGAGTAGAGGAGTTACTTAGATTAGAAGATATTTCTTTAATAGGACTATATTATTCTACTAATAAAGGGGTAGAAGTAATAGCTTTATAGTAAAATTTAGTAGGTATTATAACTAATACTTAGGTAGTTAAAGAAAAGAAGGATTAGAAATTATAAGGATCTATATTATAGGGTAGATAACCTATTAACTAGATAAGAATTAGTAATAATAATTAATAGAAAAGAATAATAGAGAGTAGTAGATTAGTTTATAATAAAACTAATCCTTATCTTCTTAAATATTAGATAAGGGGAATACTATTTATCTTTACTGTCTATCCTAGATATATTTAGTAATGATTTAAAAGCAGCTCAAGGTATGAAAATAGAAGGTTAAAAACAATTAGGATGTAAGGGGTGGCTGCATAATTAAGTGGCTGGGCTGTAGCCAAGCCTTTACAATAACCCTGTGCTGGCGCTGCTGGTGCCTGATCTTGAAGCCTAGAACACTCTTATAGCCAACGCGGTATTATAGTATAGGTGTAAGATCAGCTACTAAGAGTCGATATCAACTGATTAGATCAGCGTGAAGGGAGCAATTATCTGTATATTGCCTGAGTAAGGAGAACTAATCACTGAGTTGCGGAATACTCAGCTGGTTATGGAGATATATACAGTGGATCATGTGATCTACTAGGTCTAAACCCTCTGCACTGTTGGCATTGGCTGCACACAGTGGTGTTGCGGTTTACTGTAGCCCTTAACAATAGGTATCACAGTGCATATTAAAAAGCCTCTATCAGGACATGGAGATAAACTGCATATTAAATAATATACAGCCGCTGTGTAAAGGACGCGACAGCTCTCCATGTACATAAAACCCAAGAGAATGCAGCTGTTTGCCAGGGATGCAGACTCCTGAACCTTTACTTCCTATAAGCTGTGATTTATTACTTATGGAAGTAGAGAGTACAGGAATACTTAGCAAACCATCTGAAGTGCAATTAATAAGCAATGATAAAGATCTTAATTATGCCTAGTAAATTAATAACACTTCTTTAGATATTATCTTCAGGAAGAACCTATCTAAACACTTAGTTAATGTATATATAGGATTATCCTAAGAAGTTAGGCTATCTTTCTGTGCTATTCCACCTAAAAGAGTCTGAAAGTGAAAGGTATGAAATAATTTATTCTTAAGCTTGTTAACTACATCCTGGACAGACCACCACCAGTTTGCAAGCCCAGGTCCAAGCCTTACTAAATAATTACAAACATTACAGGCAGAGAATGCACTGCTACTTAAGTAGCTTAGACATACAGAAGACCATATAAATGCAAGAGCATTACTAGACTTTAACACCTAAATAGAGATACTCAGGTTAGTAATTCAGGATGCACAGATGGTCATATATATATACTAGTAACTAGTTAAGAATATATTATAGAGCATAACACTCCTAGGAATAGAATGTCAGTAAATTAGCCTATCTAATATTATATGGATTTCAGTCTTGCACGGTCTCTTATTAGAACCTTAACTAGGGTCAATATATTGCGAACTGACTCAAATCATGTACTGTTGATGTCTACAGCACTTAGAACAAGCCAGATTCCATAAGTTCTGGTAACCTTAGATTTAAGGCTTGTCTTCCATTTTCTCAGAGACTCAGACTATTGGCTCAGTCTGGTCGCGCACTCAGACCATTGCACAAGTCACTGGCCCTATCACACTACCTGTGCCCTAATCAGATGGATTCTCTTTTCAGTCCAACGGGATCAATCGAAACCTCCTCATTGTGTTTGCTGTAATATCCCATTATTAATTAATCGTAGCAGTCGTTTCGTTGCATTTCTTTTGCCAATGAAGCAGAAGATATGTTTGTATTAATTATAATGTAGCATCGAAGCGTAATAGCATACTCTGGCCTCTAGCGAGCCCCATTAAGTATCGAGCTCCTACTACCGATACTCCTCCTCATGACAGCAATTATCAACCTGAAATGAACGCGTTACCGGTCATCTCTAAAGTTAGTACGGAACGAGAGACTTACAGCCTCAACATTATTCCCCAACGGATCCAACACAAAAGCTGCATAAGAATTCTCATCGTACTCGGCATGTATCTCCGGTGCTCCATTATCTATTCCTCCCGCCGCTATCGCCGCTTGATAGAAAGCGTCCACCGTCGCATGATCTACCATGATTAGCCAGGAAATCAAATAACTGCAAGGCAACTATACCCGGAGCCATGAAGGCAAAATGCAACCGCTGCTCCGTCGGAACATCATCCTGTACCACCCATAGATCAGGCACTTCAGAGCCGAGCCCGACGGCTTTGGGGATGCGTCTCAACTCGCGGTATTTGAAGGGGGCGAGGGCGGCCTTGTACCAGCCCACGACGGAGTCGAATTGCTCCTTGGGAGCGGAAATGCTGATGTGGGCTATGTTGCTCAAGGACATGACTATCTTCAATTAATCATGATACTTGCAGTTGAGTGTGTACAGTATATTTGTTTGGCGATAAAAGTAGACAGACAGTCATCCATGTCATCCCATAACGCCCGCTGATGTGGTGTGACGTCACCTGAGCAGTGTTGGCCCTGCAAGGCAATTCTCACTTCTAGTCAGTATAGCATAGTTATTCCACGAGTGGGCTGTTCCAAAAGACTGTATGAGACTCGAGAAGGAATGCATAGGAGATCCATATATCTTTGATTGAGCGTTGCTGCAACGAAGCGCTCTGAACTGTTATGCCAAAACTGTCCACGATCGGAACTACGATGAAAAAGGAACATTTGGACGGACACAAATGAGTAGCCTACGCAGTATTCTTGACATGCTCCTATATAGATAAATGACTGAGTGTATGTTCTATGGTGTCCTGGTCTTTTCCTACTCTTGCCATAGCTATCACTTGCTTTCTGTGGCCATAGATAGTTATAAGTGGGTTTATCTTAGTCTTTTGCCCTTCATCCAGCTCTCAAAAATTTGACCGAATCGTTCAATCTCTCAGACCATCATTGCTTTTACCACCACATCAGGCATACCCTCAAATGCTTTGCATGGGGTAGATGCTACAGTAATTTGAGAGCGTTGCCACTCTCCTGTAGTGTTCTGAATTCTTTGAGTGATCTTCGGTTCAGCTGGGTTTCTACCTTTCAGTTCCCCTCCTTTACGTTCAATACATTCTGGCCGCTGCTTCTTTCGCAACACCAGTATAGCAAAATTAACAAAAGGATCTTTTTAACGACATGAAAGGTCTACTTGATAGAGTGCCGTCCTTGGAATGGGCAGATTTCGCAATTGGACCTTAACGAATCTTCGCGGAGATATATATCCATCAAATTCAGCAGCTTCCTGCTTGGCATATAGATGATTTGCATAATTCGAATGTAGTCCGGATAACAGAAAACACATCATTATAACTTTCGTTATGAGACCTTCTGGCCCGCTCAAAACAATGTGGAAATAATTGATAATTACATTGCAAGTTTCGTAGTAAGACAACACGCAGATGGATTGGGCAATATTCGTTGGTCGGCAACGGAAGGTCTCCTAGTTGATTATGCGAATTGGCAGCTCTCTGAAGAACAGAATTGGCAACAAGGACAGATCCTCTGGGGTATTAAAGACAACATGATTACGACGATAAGGAGTAAGGTTAGGGATCGTCTCATTCGCCCCATAGTAATGGAAGGCTGCTGGATGGTCAGAGCAAAGAAGGCAGGGGTAGCCACACCTGTAACATAGATTCAGACTATTGAGGGGCCTTACAGAGTTGGCGGGCTATCGTGGATTATCTACGGTTGGATGGGGATGGCCCCAGCAAACAGACAATTACGCAAGTAGTACGTAATTGTTGTTGGAATGAATAACGCGGAGGATTCACAGCTGGCCTGGTCCTGGCGATAGAACTACCTCCACCTCACACTTGACCAAACTCACATGGTTCCTCATCATCGACTATATCTGGTAGATCAAGCAATATCTTTTAATGAGTATTAGCACAGTTTACAAGCAGTGGAGGGTTGTAAAAAGAAGCCGATCCCTTAGTCATGTCGTCTCAGTGTATGAGCCGGCTAGTTCATGGTCAATGGCCTCACGTATTATCAAACAACCCTCACCAGCAACTGATACCAACACCATCCCCTTATATGCCAGGGGACGTTTGAAAATTCCCCTTGAGACGTTTGATCTCAAGACCATCGACATGCAACTCTAGAGAAGAGATGTTAAGGAGAAAGGGTAAATACTAGGAGGCCTGTATCTTTTTGTTTTATGTTTATTTGATCAGAAAGTATGTAGACACTACTTTGAATGCCAAAGACATTCAATAATGCCACTCAATTTTTTTTGGAATCAAGCATAGTCAATGTCACTAAAACAAAGTATTCAACAGAAGCGATGGCAGGAGCAAAGGAGAAAAGTAGCATGCAGCTATTTGTGTAATTGATCTCTTGTAACAAACCTTTAAGGGCAGTAGGTTTCTGGGGTCCTTGTTTAAATTAGTGTGACCTCAACAAACCATGCCGCTTAGTTGCTTGCTTGCCTGGATATGTAAAGAGATGCCAATAATAAATTAAAAATGGCTGCCCATTTATTTGGATATGTAATTAAGATAGAACACAAATGCTATATATATGGATGGCAGCTTGCAGAAGCAAACACCTATTGCCTAATTTGGCATCTGATAGTGACTGAGAGAAGGACATATGATTGAAAGAGTCTGCACTTAGTTATCTTTACATGCAGCAGTTTCTTTTTAATCCTTATAAACTAGTAGAATAGTTTCCCTGACAATCATTGTTGTCTTTACTACCGAAACTGAACCCTAATAATAAATAATAGGTTGCTATTATTGCACTGCACTGAATGAGAATCAAAACCTATCTCACTGCTATGAACAATCATTTTGCTAAATAAATTAAACCAACTCAAAGAGGCAGCCCCTGTAGAGCCCTTGGAGTCAACAGCTGAGGTTAATGAAAGCTGCTGAAACTTCATTGTCTCTAAAACACACCACCACATGGTAGAAAGTTGATCCATAAAAGAGTTAAGGATCCAAAAATGAGGGGATCTCTCTCTAACATGGATGACAGCTCTATCTGCTCAGATCTCAGCCTTGACCAACATCCTGTCCATGCTGTACAGTGCTGCCATGCATTCCATGATCTTTGCCGTTCAAAATTATACATGGCTCTAATCAGGGCTGATCTTTAGATCCGACAGACTCAAGCTGATCGCTACCAGCAAAGCCGCCCAAATTGCATTGAACCACAAGCTCATAGAGCCAGCCTGGAAACCCATCTTCACCTGACTTTTGATCTAACGTGCCCTCGGCCGTTTTGACAATGGGCAACGCGAGCAATACAAACTGGGCCTTAATCTATCACAGATGTGCGGTTGGCCACGGACAGTTTAAATTCATTGGAACTCTATCACTAATTACATTAATTATCTTTTAAAATACAGTGAAAAAGGCGCATATAGAAAGAGCCTACCCTTAACTGCAGAGCACCATTGTTCAATATTCCAGCTCTCCTTGAATAAACGCTCCAAGTCAGAGCCCAAAGTCAGCAATTAAGTCGAGCTGAAGGATGTATCTCTGTCAGATTCAAGCTGGTATCTAGGGCCGTGTGTTCTTCTCTGAGAATTCTGAGGCAACATCGCGACTTTCAAAGCATGCTGCATATGTTCTATGCCGTCAAATCAATATCTTTTCACTTCACTACCGGCGAAAGCCGCAAATGCCCGATTATGATCGTCCGAGTTGTGACGAAGTAATTTTCAAGGAAAATGTCTCGCAGGGTGAATGATACAGTACAGCCACAGGCTGGATATGACAGAGAAGAGCGTTGTGATACAGTGCTCATTGAGGTACAATAATTTACCATGTATCATAGTCTAACGAACCCATGGCATACTTTGCGAAAGGCTTGCGCCAGAATTTGTGCATCGACGTTAGGTCGCGAAGGATCGAAATCTGGGAAATTGCGACTAATTCCTGGGGAGTGTCTTGCGAGGAATGGGAATGGGAGAAGACAAGTAGCAGCTACAGATACCTTTGGTTGAGCCGACGTCCAGGAGCCGCAACTTGGACGCTGTATGGTATGTGTACTTGAGTTCTGGTTTCCTGTAGATGCAGCGGCAACTAGAAATTTCTCACCCTGCCAAATTGACTAGTGATTCACTAGGAAATTGATTAGCTTCCGTGAAAGTGGTCGATGAAGTTTTACATTTTAGACACTGGTAAAATTATGACAAGATATTTGGGGCTCCGGGGTTGAGATCGTACTAATCCGAACAATTAGAAGAAACCATGTTGGCCAGATGCTGGACCTCGCTAAAAGTTTGCTTCGTTAATAACGCAACCTACTTTTAGCTCAAAGAAAAGATCAAAACTTTATGGAGGCGGAACGAACTAACTCTCGTTACGTCATTGTTATTCTTTTTGGCGGAGATAATGTCGTAGGGTCACCTGACCCCTACGGTTAGTCAGCCCACAGCTTAGCGAGCTGCCCCTATTCCGCGCACAGTTCGGCTTCCTAGCTAGGGAATCCAACCATCTCAACCATCTCCGTGCTACGGCTACGTCAGATAATATTAATCGGGTGAGCTATGCAGCGGAATGCCGTTTTAACCATTTCATACGCCAGAATTAGGAACTGAGACGACGCCATGAATCACGAAATGTCTACATTATCTTTTTCAGCAAATAGGTAGGAAAGTGAGCTTTTCGGGTATGCTCATATGGACTTCATACTCATACGGCCCACTTCCGGCCTCCGCTTATCGTACTTTAGGTCTAGGCAATCTCCGGAATGCGAATCGAAGGGAGAAATTCTAGCAGTTGGGTGGGGGGAAGACAGCATTAGATTCCCCAGCTTATGGATACCGTTATTCTGATTTTTTATTTGTTGGATTTATGGTGGGTAGATCCCCTAGTTAATTTTTGGCTCACAATTCTGTACCATCGACTGTTCAGTCCTGAATCCAAGGCAACGAAAAGCAAAGACTAGAACCAGTCGACCATTACTGAGCTATTTCACAGCTAGTTCTGGCTGATATCCACCATCTGTAAACAACTTGAATCCACCGTCAAGATTCACGGCCCGATAGCCAGACTGCACTAGGATTCGGTAGGCCAAGTAGCCATGATAGCCTACCCTAGAGTAGACCAGTACCGGCCGATCCTTTTCGATTTCACCAAGTCTTGGCCTCAGCGAGTCGATCGGAATATTTCGAGCAAGTAGTAGATGGCCTTGTGCAAAGTGCTCTGCGGACCGCACATCAATAATCTGCCATTCGTGTAGATGGCCTTGTAGGCTTTGAGGATGGACTATATGAAGGTCCCCCCGTAGCAGGTTACTTCCGACGGAGCCCGCTAGATTGACTGGATCCTTCATGGAACCATACTGTGGCATATAAGAAAGTTCGAGATGCTCCAAGTCGAATACAGTCATCCCCGCCTGCATGGCGGTGGCGAGCACATCGATGCGGCCGTCCACACCAGAATGTCCAACAACCTGGGCACCCAGCAAGACGCCACTCGCTCGTTCAAAGGCCACTCTCAACGTCAGCTGCTGGGATGATGGAAAGTACCCAGCATGGTCCGGCTGGTGAATGGTCACATATTGAGGGTCGTATCCAATCTGCTTGAGCTCGGAGACTGAGAGCCCGGTGATCGCCCCTGTCAAGTGGAAGACGTGGTATACATGGGTTCCACAGGTTCCCGGATACGCCGTAGCATGTTTGCAGATATGATCCGCTGCGAGACGGCCCTGTCGGTTCGAGGTTCCGCTCATGGATGACACCTGAGACTTATGGGAGATACTGTTCATAACCTCTGCCACACTGCCAACTGCATATATGTCAAGATCGCTTGTCTGCATGAATGCATTAACCACAATCCCTTTCCTGACATAAAGGCCTGCGTTCTTAGCATGCCGGACTCGTGGTTTGGGTTCCATGGCCAAGACTACCAGGTCCGCGGAGAGGCTAGAGCCATCGCTTAATTCCACGCAGCACAGGTCGGCCTTTGTCTCTGCGATTGTTTGACATTGCAGCCCCAGATAAATCCCAACACCTTTCTTCAGGAGCTCTTTCTGGATCATATTGGCAAAATCCGGATCAAATTCTGGACAGAGGCGGTCACCAGCCTCGATCACGCTGACACGGAGGCCGAAACTATACAGACTCTCCACGGCTCTGAGACCCGCGAAGGCGCCCCCTAGGATTACTACCTCACGACAGTCATTTTTCACCACAAACGACCGGATGGTCTGCAGATCAGCGAGGGTCTGCAACGGGAACACATTGTCTTTTTTTATATCTGCAATAGGACAAAGAGCGGGCTCGGCGCCTTGCGCAAGGATCATTTTATCGTACGGCAAGTCATAGATTGTATCAGTCTTCCGACATCTCACAGTAATAGAATGACGCTCCCTTGAGATGCTGACAAGCTCAGTACAGACGCGCACGTCCAGGTTGAATCGAGCACTGAGCCCTGCGGGAGTTTGGACTGCGATCAGCGTATCCCTTTCAATGACACCGCCCAGGGTGAAGGGGACAAAAGAGTTTGTGTAACTAATATAGGAGGCTCGTTCGATAACAATGATCGATGCGTTCTCATTCAGACGCCGTGCACGAACCGCTGCTGACATTCCCCCCCGGGCGCCACCAATGATGACCAGCCTCAACTTTTCACCTTCGGTCGACATCCCACTGTCTCTAAGTTCCTTCACGACCAGACGAGGAGAGCTCGAATCGGCAGACATTTATTACTGTGTGCGCTATTCCCGGCACAAGTTTGGAAAACGCATCATCCTGTTGCTCAAAATTTTGTCGAGATCCTGCTGCGGATTAAGTGCCTCGCGATATTAACTGGCGATCAGAACGATCGAGAAGCGGAGCTTGGCATGACGTCGTCGGACCCTCCGGTCCATGGATCATGACAATAAAAGTCAATGACGCTTGGAAAGATGTTGAGAGACACCGGAGCCGAGGGCCGTTTAGCCTCTTAGATAAATGGAACTTGGCCGCTCTAACCCAGTTTTCTTTCAGAAGGAAAGGCCTGCGTGTCGTTGAATACCTATACCTGTGCTTTGTATGCTACAACATACCGATGCTCATTTTGGAAAGCACAGAACGGTCAATCCACTGGAATCAGGCTGGCTATGGAATGCTAGCATGGCATTTGTTGCTGGTATCCAAACATTCTGTTGCATATACTATGAACATGTTGTGCTTTATTGGGCCTGAATACTCTGCTTTGTAGTAACAGGAAGCTATAGAATAAGGAAAAAGGCCCAACTAACACCCTTTCCTCAGCAGCCTGGTCTTGCATCCGATCAGTCTCGAAGTCAAATTTTCAAACCTCTAAGCTAATATGCGCATTCTGGCTATTATCAACCTGCCCTCACGGCCGGTGCAGTAGCTGAGCCTTGCGATACCGGGGGTAACTACTGCGGCTGGTACTTGGCTAATAACATTTGGCCTCTGGAGGTAATGGTGCTTCATGACACATAATGTTTCTATTAGACGTTGTTTGGGGGCTGGCCCGTCCCCAGGTATCAACCTGGGATCATACCCAATACCGACTAACCTTGTTTCAGCAAGATCTAGGTAAGGTGTCACGAAGAGAGAGGGAGTAGGGCATTTTAACATTTGATGCAAAATAGGAGGACCTTGGAATGTTCCAGGGCACCCTATGTAATGTGACCAAATTAGACCAAGAAGCGAAGTCGTAAGCCTACGATGAGTATTTCAGAGATTTCCAAAGTGTAAAATGCCTCTTTTCCAGTCATCTAGAAGAATCAGTAAAGAATTATGGAATCTTTGCCCTTATTCCCCACGTTCAGCTTCCTAATTTCAAACGTGAAAAAACTGACTCGTCCTCAACACCAGCTAAGCAAGGATCGAGATGACATCTCCGTGAAATGCACTCTCAATCTTCTTAAAGATGGACAGTATACTGCCTTCTCCTAGCAGTTGAGTTCCATACAAAGCCCAACAGCCCTGCATCAAGGAAATACCGGATGTATCGTTGTTATTTGTCGACATTCACAGACATTCCGATCTTAGAGATGCCTCTCGAGTCGGACAGTCTCTGGATACAGCATTTCAGTACAATTTGCCAATATCCCTTTTTATGGTATCATATCGACCATTAAGTATCCTATCCCTCGAGGGCTTGGGAGCCAAAATTAGCGACCCTTTGCAACCTTAAGTCTCGAGCCATATGATGAAGTGCGTTTCTTCTTGGAGACGCCAGACTACAGGGGCCGTGGATATCAACATCTACAGGAGGCTCCTCAATCCTATGTGGTTCTTGAAGGCACCTGCAACGACCATTAGCACAGTACATCGTAAATGACAAATAGTATGTCCTGTGCTCATTCCCTACCTAGCCATCCTAACTTACCAGCATCTAGCACAGTTGCTGGCATCATTACACCTACCTTATGTGACCATGCCAACGCTTGGGGCAATGATTTGATTAATTTCCACATTAGACGTGGCAAGTGCGTATGCTGCAACGTCCGGCAGGCAGTAGGACCTTGAGCATATTGTGATTAGAAGTTGAATTCCAGGAAAGTAAAAAGGGGTCTGTGTAAAATATATGCTTCTCAGGTGCATGTTTACTGATCAATTTGTGTGCCGTACGACCTGATTTATCGAAGAGTTCTTTACACACTTGACTACAAAGATCGCGGAAAATCCATCCAAACCTAGAACCGTTGTTTAAAAGAGAATTCAGGTACAGGTTATACTATATACTATACTGAAGAAGCATGAATCAAAAGAGAGTAGCAATACCTGACGACATTGCTATTACTCTCATACGTTGATTTTTTTCCCCCAGATTGGCCGCTAGCGTAAAGTGTACTATGCTTGGTGGATTGATGGCCCGTCTTTGTTTCCATGAAGCAGATTAAGATAGAAACATTGTCAATATGTAAGCCTGACATCTATCGTCCACGATAAATCATGATATTACAGATTCCGTTGTCATTAATCCCCAGGTACAAGGACTGAAATAGCTGAAATATGTTAAGGCCAAGAGAAGCTCGGTGAACCTTCTCTCCTGAAGATGTGACTTCCGTTCCATCATACGCCAGTCTGTGTTCAGTGCAGGTACACAAACTTGAGGCCTTCAAACAGTATCGAAAACGTCGACTACCTCATCTGAACAAATGGTTCTATGGCACACGGGACAGGTGTTGTGAAAGCGCAGGAACCATTTTTCAAGGCACCAACAGTGGAAGACATGTCGACATTCTAGGCAACGCACTGACTGGGTTTTCAGAACTTCTTCAAGGCAGATAGCACTGCAACACCCGCAGTATCAGCATGCATCACAACAACCGACATATCGGATGCGTATACCGACCAGGCGATGGGACCATTCTGAGAGAGCAACGGGCTTTCCTCGTTGCACCATAAAGCCTGCCAGTTCTGTAGGGACCTCACTGGAGCAGCTTCATCAAGATGCTCGAGCCTCTGTTCTTGAGTCGCTGTAAACATATATGGATAGTCAATGCTTCTCTGTATCAGGTGCGGATATTGCTTGATGCGGTCCCACAACCTCAACGTGACCCTTCTCATTGTCCAATGTCTTGTCAGCGTAATATCCCTAGCTGCTGCTCAACCATGTACTGCGCCATGGTGGGTCAACATAGTCTAGAAGAACTCGAGCACTTACAAAATTGCAATAACTATATAGAAGATAATGCAACAAAGGATAACTAATCTCGCTGCTGCCGTATCTTCCCCCGCTTCACCTCTATTTGTCGGCTGGGTGTCGTTCATCATTTGCCAGCGAGGAATAAAAGTTGAAAGTCTGATAAAATCATGATCGATTTGCTGTCACTGCCCCACTCGATAAATGATATATAATCTGCAGTATCCTTACATCCAACTTGAAGGGAGAAAATGCATCTCTGGCAAGCATGGGTGCTCCAGGAAGACACAAGCACTGTTTCATGGCTCCCGGCCGAAACGTCAGCAGACCTGGTTCACGGAATCGCCCGTGAGAAAACTTAAAAGCAGGTGTCAGCCCACCAGCAATCTAGACCGCCACTGCAGTCAGCACATCCAACGCGTTAAATACTACATATTAGAAGCAAATGTGACATCATAGTATTTACAGTGATTGGTAGTTAACAACTAATATAAGGGTGTGTAGGTCCGAGCGACACCTGGTCTACAATATTGAAAACTCGGCATCTCCGTAGTTTCTAGTCGATTCATCAAGGATGGCTCAGACGTCAAACGTCCAGAGGCGAGACCCAAGCAATGTTCAGGCATGGCTTGTTGGAAGTGGGATGGCCTGCCTGGCGGCTGCTGTTCATCTAATTCGCGAGGGCAATGTTCCAGGTAAAAACATCCACATACTTGATTTACATCTGGGGTTCGGTGGCGAAATGGGAACCTCTGGAGACGCGCAAAACGGATATTTCGTTCCCTTCGAGTGTCATCCCTATTTTCATGGCGACTGTATGAAGAATCTGTTGTCTATTATACCTAGCCCTGACGAACCCGGCAAATCCATGATGGACGACATCTATTTTTTTGAAAAGACTGAGCGGCAACCACCGCAGGACTTTGCGATGACGCGGGCAATAAAGCTGGGAAAGTCTGGACCCGAAGTCGTTCACACCAGGGGCATCAAGGTGGGATTAAAGCATCGATTGGAGTTGATGAAGCTCATCTTGGAGAGCGAGACGAGCTTAGGCGCGAAAAGCATCAATCAGATCTTTGAGCAGTCCTTCTTTGAAACCGAGTTCTGGATGCTATGGTCGACAGCGTATGCCCGTTAATGGCACCCTCAATATGACCCACTAACTCTTCATCAGGTTTGCTTTCCAGCCTTGGCACAGTGCTGTCGAGTTCCGAAGGCATCTTCGCAAATACCTAGAGGATATCCAGTATATTAATGACGTTAAGACAGCCTATCGGACTAAGTACAACCTATTCGACTCTGTCACCCTTCCTATCACGGACTTTCTGAAAGGAGAGGGTGTTGATTTCCGCTTTAATATTGAAGTTACTGATCTACTGCTCTATCCTGAGAGTGACCCTACCACAGTTTCTGAAATTAAGCTGATCAAAGGTGGAGATGAATGCCTGATTACATTGGACCCAGAAGACATTTGCCTTGTCGACCCAGGTTACTCTCGTTCGGGGGCAGACTTTGGCAGTGATAATGCTTCTCCTCCGTATCTTACCTCTAACTGGCAAGATTTGATGATGAAGGAGTGGAAGTTGTGGCAGAAATTATCTGACAAGTCTCCTAAATTTGGAAACCCAACCAACTTCTTGTCACGCGCTCTTGAATCAGGCGTGGAAACATTTACTACGACACTCTGGGGCCCACAGTTTATGAATCTGTACGAGAAGCTCACCCATGATCGGCCTGGAACGGGTGCCATGCTCTCATTGACAGACAGCAAGTGGTCAATTACGCTGAGTATCCCACATCAGCCAATATTCCCAGCGCAACCCCAGAATGTTCATGTTATATGTGGATACGCTCTGAGCCCTTCCAATGAAGGGAATTTTGTGGAGAAACCAATGTTCGCATGCTCTGGCAAGGAGATCTTCACTGAGGTTCTTTCCCATCTCGGGTTTCCCGTTCAATCCGTCCTCGCAACTGCGACAACCATTCCCTGTGGGTTGCCTCTGGGCACTGCACCGTTTTTGACCCGTGGGAATAAAGATCGCCCACACGTGATCCCACCTTATACGACCAACATTGCGTGCGTCGGCCAGTTTGCAGAGCTTCCAGAAGATACCACCCTGAGTGTGGAATACAGCGTGCGAAGCGCTCAGACGGCCGTCTATAGGTTGATGGGCCTGCGAAAGGAGCCAGCCAAGGCTAAGAAAAATATTCTCTTGGAACTGTTGGATTTATTGATATAAAGCATGGTTGCCATGTTATTCTCTTTTCCACATTTTTGTACTGGGTTGGATATTGAACGCCAATAATCTATTTTCCTCTTCTCTCGCTCGCTCTTTTGGTCGTTTTGGTCCTCTATTTCTCCCTCCTTTGTCCTTGAATATTCGAGCAACTTAAATCAAGGTGGTGTCTCAATGTAGGTGAATGTATACTTTTTGCCGAGAAGGGGATATGACTGCTCCTACCATCCTATCATACCAGTGGCCCCGAGACCCCTTCTGGCACACTACACCTGATTGCAAAACTGCTGCAAATGTTTATAATCTTGGACACTTTCAGGTATATGAAACACGCTAAGCCGCTTTTAATGAAATTCTCCGGAAGACCTTGCTACATGTTTCCGTAATATTTAGTATAGGTCGGCCCATGACGCAAAGTATTTTACATAACCTGTATTCCGCCATACAACAGTATCAAGCCACGTGGATATATCTCTATGAACCTGCCAAGGATCCTCCCGGAAGATCACATCGATCATCCTACGGCAAAAAAGATGGGGCCCCAACTTAGCTCCACCGACCCTGGAGTTCATCCGTGATATGATTTTAAGCAATGAACTTAGCCGCTCTCAGATTGCCAACGCGGCTGGCTGCCATCCAAGCTCATCACTAGGCATGTCACAAACATGAATCTATTCAGAGATGTGAAGGCACCCCTAAATAAGGATGGACAACCCTGGAGACTTACACTAATGTAGTCAGAGCCCCCTGTGACCATCTCCTAGAGCAGCCGCATCTATACCTTAATAAGATGGCGATTTTCCTCTGGGATGAGTTTCAGGTAGAAGTAAACATATACAGCATCAGTCGTGCTCTCAAGCATGATGGTTGGTCAAAAAAGGCTGCCAACTATAGAGCAAGAAAGCGGAATGAGGATCTATGTGACGCGTACTTTCACTTCATATCAGACTTTTGTGATACCACCTTGTTTATGTGGACGAATTTGGGTATGACAAGATGGTAGGATTCAGAAGAACAGGCTGGTCTCCTCTTGGTATCACACCCACTTTTGATTGCAGCAGGAGAATTTTGTAGCGACGTGCTGGCTCTTAGTGTTGATGACACTCCACCTCATATACAACTAGACCCTAAAGGGTGCCATATACCCCACATCCCATGAATGGATGCCCGAAACGTGACGGACGGAAGTGTATTTGCCAGATGTGAAATAACAGCTCAATGCTGATCACCTCTGTTATTGTCTCAGGTTTAATTAGTATATTTACTACGAATTACTGAATTGTCACAACTGATCATATTTAGCTTTGTTACAATTACTTTATGAATATAGTCCTAAGCCCAAGTGAGTTCTGGCACCTGAAAGACAAGGTTGAAAAGGTTAGACATCGTAGGGTATTTGAAAACCAACAGGGTTTGATTAGATGAATTCCCTCTTGTAGCCCTGGTAATATAACATGGATCAGAACCTGACCTCCATCAGCAATCCGAGTATACATGTCGATTGGAGAGTTGTTGTGGAGGAGCTCTTGACTGGGCCAACATAATAAAGGAAGGCAAGCAGCCTAGACTAGGTAGACATTTCTGTCGGCTATATAGGAGACGATACCTGCCCCGATCCCCTTAAAAGGGTGTAGATTTATGGGGGTCGCCTCACGTGATATCTACACCGACATTACTGAAAGAAAGGGGGGGGGGCGCTTCCCTCCTACAACTGCCTCACGAGAGTCAGTTGCTTGCCTCTGTAGCTATTTGGTCATTGCTCATGCAGTCAAGATTCAATTTTGTCACTCCCGCCTTCCCTCTGTATATAGAACCACACGCAATACAGACACATTGCCTCCCTATTAGGAAGCGCGGATGGGCCCTGTCTGACGCTATGGTCTAAAACCGCAGCGACAGGTGACCCGTTATGGCCAAACTACTGTCTCTTTGTCCTCTTGACTGCGTGAGGTCAGCAATAAAGCGGGGATAAAAGAGGCGCTAACTCAACTACAAACAGAATGCTTTCTGAGAGAGACGCACGGATAGACGCCGAAGTGACCTCTGCGCAGCCGACTGCCTAGCGAGATGTGTATAGGAAATTGGGCTCTCCCGCGTTGTGCAGAAACAAAGATCCTAATGGGAAGAAGCATTATCCGCTTGACTCATATCATCTGAAAACGTATGCCTAAAATGTGGCACAAGCTATCGACAATGACATGGATTTCAATGTCTGATTCACTAAAACTAGCAGCTAATAAATGCTGCACTAAGTACACTTCAGCTAAAGAGTAAGAATTGGCGGACAGCCAATAGTCTCCTCCCTGTGCAGGAGATCTTGGAGAACTACTTCTCTTGTGTAAAGGCTTTGGACCAGTCCTGCTTCCTGAAGTAATTTGCTATACTGTCTAACTGCGGGCGCGAATCCAACTAAGACGGTTAGCAATTGAAAAGCATGACATCAGTCATAAACTCATGTCTTTAGTATGGATGATTGTAGGGTCATCTCGGCCCTCGTATCCGAACTCGTTGCAATAAGCCCAATTGTCATCTAATTCACGACTGAGCTCAGGGGGGAGGGGAATGTTCGGCTGTCCTTTTTCTAATATAATACATTCTGCTTTGATCCTGGTGGCCTGCGCAAATGCCTTTGAGAGTTTGCGTAAAGAGCTCCACTCCCTATAGGCTATGACGTTCTTCCCAGCTGCTTCTTGCACGAGGGCCTTCACAATTGGTCCAGTGTCTTCTTCCGGGGCGATGAAAGGTAGTTTAAGGTCTGGGTCTAGATGCCCCACAAAATGGGCTACACCGTTCGCTGTCTAGAGAGAGTTGTCACTTATTAGACGGTCCAAGGCAATTGAGTGAAGAACTTACCATCTGGGGCTGGAAGATCAGATTTGATAGGAAATTGCTCAGGAAAAACCCCGCCTGGAAGATGCTTGTCTTCTTCCAAAGCTTGGGGTAGGTTTCTCTTCCATATGCCTCTGCCTTGGCCTTTGAGTTGAAATGATAGACATGCGTGTACTTTCCCCTAGACCACTTCATCGCGTCAGAAAGAGACGAAAACACGAAGTGTTCCAGTGTAGGCACCTTTGCGGCAGCATTGATAACACCCTTTAGTTGCTTAGTCTCATGGTTAGCAGCCCAGACATTGAGCGGCTGGCCCTTCACCTTGGCTGCGTTGGCAGGATCACCAAATAAGCCCCAGAAGTCACTGACAGCGAAAATGGCGTTCGCGTTCTCAAAGGCTGAGGGGAGCGTAGAAGGCGAGTCCAAGTCTGCCTGGACAACCTCCGCGCCGCGGGCAGCCAGGGCTTGGGCTTTTGCGCTGGCAGGGTTCTGTCAAGTATCGCTCTCTCCTTCAGCGCCTTAGTCGTCCGGCACATCTTCGGTTCTGCAAGTTTTTGGCTTACCAAGGATTACTCAGGATTATTAATGACCCAGTTAATATCAGTCTTTTCAAAGCACCTCATAAGATCACGCTATAAGCAGTTATTTACAGAAATAATAACCAAGGTTATCATCCAGCTTGACACACTAATTACAGTTTATTTTCTAATAGAGCATACGTTCAGCCTTCTGCTTAACCTACTGCAAGTCTAAACAGGGGGCTGAATATAGGTCTCATTCCATATCTTTAGCTAAGAGCTAGTTATAAGGAGTCACCCTCCACTAAATTATATACAGTATATATAACAGAAGTTTGTCATCTGTTACTCTGCCATCGGATTCGACATGGTTGAGGAAGTGCAGTCAACCAGATTAGAATTAAGGCAGTGGTGTAGAATGTTCATTAAGAGAGGAATAGCTATATTTAGAGGGCAAATATTCGCGGCCAAAGTCACTATAGGTGGGGGCATACAACGAAGACCCTTCCCAAGTACCAGCTTAGGAAGTAGTATAGTTATTAAGAGGGGTAGATGTCACCTCCTTAAGGCACAGGATACCACCAAGGAGCCTGATATTAGAAATATCATATATTAGCTTTCCAATGGATTTATCTTAGCTTGGGGCAAACTCATGCTGACAAGCTAAGAAGAATAATAAGCAGAGTCATTTGTGTTGCACTACTTTGCTCCTGCATAGCCTGCAGTAAGCACGTTAATTCCAGGTCATGACAGGAACAGGAAGGTGACTGTTAACAGGTTGCCAGATCCGCCAGGCACTCGGCTGGTGGTTTGGCTGGTTTACATGGAATCTTCCAGACTTTCCAGTCACCCATGCATCGCCCGTACATGGCCCATACGCGTATACGTACATAAATATTACATATACAGTTTTATACCTTATCCTTGAATTACAGGGAAGATAGATATTCCGCAAATTTGCCAGTTACAGTTTAGTTCTGTTTTGAAATAGGTTTCAGAAAAGAAAATCTTAAGTTAAACGTCTGCACCGGTTATGCACAGTGCCTTTAGTTGTATTGACAGGTCCTCGCGGCGGGATCAACAGTACCATTAAGAGTCAGTGTAAATAAATTAATATGAAGTGCCGGGCTACAATTGCAGGACACATACCCACACTATAAGATCTGGTTAACATCGGTGGGCAGGGAGCGGCATATAGCTCTTGATCAGCCATGTTATCCCCATTGATATTATTAATGATAGACATGTTTCTGGCGAAGATGCTGAACTGAGAAATTGCTGCTATAGCTGTATTGCCCTAAACAGGTAACTACCTAGCTCAGCCAGACCCACTAGTAGAAAGGGAACAAGACATGGAAACTGGTGGCTCGTGAACCACGGACTGAGTCGTTGGCGGAGTGTGTCTAGACCAACAGCTGAGGATAGTATACCATCACTGATTACTCTGATCACTCTGATCATCGCCGGAAATGTGTATCTCATGATCAGAATCAGCATTTAACTATCGGTAGATTACGAAATAGATTATGATTACTTTTCCGTTAGCCCGTGGTCAGTTGTGTGGACTGTTCGAAAGCCTATATAAATGCGCTCATGCAGCCTAAACTGAAGCATTTGTATTCGCGGAACGAGAGGACAAGATAATTACCAACATGGGACCGATTTCGGAGTATCTATACCATATAGTACTGACAACCTCTCATCTCACCAAAAATCCCAACAACATTGTTGAAAAAGTACGCGTCCCTGGGACCTATACATCTCTGCCAGCGGCCAAAGCCGCGGCACACAGCTGTCTGTTTGACGCCGGATATGAACGAGAGTTCTTCACCAAGTACGAGGTCGATCCGGCTGTTTTCGAAGAACAAAATCTTCTTGAGCGCTCTGGCCTGGCAGTGCTCGCTGTAGCTGCAGACGGGACTACATTCCGGGTTCGGATTGACACGACCCCGAATAACATGCGCCTAACGACGGATCTTGAGGATGGTAGGATATCGATTCCGTTGTACTATGTGATTGAGACTACCATCGTGTATGGCGGGCAGAAGGAGACAACCAGTGTCCGCAATCTAAACATTGAAGGGACGTTCGAAACATATGAAGAAGCTTGGGCTTTTGCAAAGCAGGTATTACTGTCCAAGGAGGACAAGGTCACCAAAGACAGTTTCGCGGAGTATGATGAGGCCGCACCCGATGAGAAAGATTGCGGGTATGGAGAGAATGTGATTGTGCATGCTGCTAATAATTATGGGGAGAATTTCTTGATCAGTGTCATTCAGACTCAGGAACTGCAAAATGTCGCTTTGACAGAGGCAGCGATGAGGATTGCTTAAGGGTGGTTGTTCACAAATTTGCTTTGGGAACTGCAGATTGTATCAGACCCGGACGTGCGCTCACATTCAAATAACTGGAAATACAACAAATAACAGGATATTGGAGTTCTTGAAAGCCGACTCTATCATCCTGTCTTGGGATAAAAACCCTCATGGCCCTTGGAATATTGATCTTTGCCCTGGCTAAACCCGAATGCTATGCGGCGCAGTACCTTCTACACCTTCCTCAGCAGGATATCTTCACGTTCCTTGAAGGTGACTAATGTGGCCATACCCAGATGTAATGTAGCAGAAAGTCTCCTCTTTAGCTAGAAATAGCAGAATCTTGATATATGCTCCTGTTTTTCTACGAAGTCTCTAGCAACGACGCCGAATACCACTGGCTTAGTGATTATAAAACCTTGATGGAGACAAAACTGCCGTTTAGTGGAACCCTGTAGTGATCGCTTTCCGCCATCTCGTTGGAAGTCGTTGCAAGCCATTGATCTATTGCCTGACACAATGGCCAATTAGAAATTTCCAACATCCAATTTATGTCGCACATCCAGGAACCACTGGGATTTTTCAACAGGGCCGTCTACCTTAAAAATGTTGGGCTACAGACAGGTCGGAATTGTGCACAAACAATAAGTGCTTCTTTTTGAACCGCTCTTTACGATGAACTATTAGAGAACGAGCCCCTCTGAGTCAATCTTCCCAAGTCCGATGCCGATTTGCAATCGTCAGCGTGACCTTCCTCAACTACCGAGTCCAGATGTCGCATTTGCTGAAACACACAGCTTTGACCTATCTCAGCTCCACTGGCAGTCGACCAGCACCAAAACTTCTTTTGGGACATGAAGCTAGGGTCTCTCAAATCCAGGGCGATGAGCCGTCCATTTCCCCCGCCCCCAACAAAATCTTCTATGGTTCAGCCTTAGCTAGCTGAGGTGCGCCGGACATGACGGGAAATCTGGACTGTGTGCATTATTGCTCTTTATGGAATGAATAACCTCATAGATTATTATTCAATTTTCTCTACATCATAAGGCATGGTATACCATTTGATGTGGGCTGGCATTTGAGCTTTCATACGAGATAAATTGCGTCTACCAGGGTATTGTTGCATGTAGCTTTCCGGTCACGTCTTTTAAACCAAAATAAGAGAAGCCAAGGACCCCAATTCAAGAACAATTTCCGCTGCGATTAGAGTCTAGAACGAAGTTGAGTTACGTTTCCCCGAACCCCCGCTGAGCTATTTCTGACACACGCTGAGCTGTGTCCCTGTCTTGATTACGCCACTTGCGTAATTAAGCTACCTTTCAACGCAATGTCTGTGTAGCTTTTGCTATATTACTTTTCCCTAAAAATCTCAAAGCTTTTCGGATTTGTGATTTAAGCCTACATAGCTCATTTCCGAAGGATGTAGCTGCATTCAGCAAAACAACATAAAAGTCAACTATAATCATTAAAGCACAATACAATGATCAATGGGGAAACGTCATCCACCATTCCCTACAAAGTCTAGTACCAATGAAACAGATGATGTTTTACCCTGGTAAACGCCTTGCTATGTTTGAAATTTCAGCCACCACCATACTTATATTTTCTTTCCAGGCAAGACAAATACCGTCCAGCTATTCTTAAACAAGTGGTTGGACAAGATGAGACACTTAACATATTAAAGAGCTTCATGATACATAGAGTGTGGACTTCCAACTACTGCTAATATCTTTCTCCCTCCCCACCTCCGGAAAATTACAATAGCCAGCTTATCCTGAGTCCTGAGTCCTGACTAAAGTCTGAGTATAGAAATTTCCGCACCTACTTTTCTATGGACCCCCTGGGACAGGGAAAACATCCACAATCCTTGCTCTGGCGCGTCAGTTATATGGCGATGCTAGCATGAGCCAGATGGTTCTTGAATTAAATGCTGGTGATGATAGAAGTGTGCATGATGTCCAAACACAGATAAAGACATTTGCAAGTACATTCACTAGCCCTCTCCCAGATCAAATAGTCCCTAACTGCTCTTCCCTTCTTCTTCTTCTTCTTTTTTTCTGTGAATAAGGCACGAGACCCATTTTCAACAAAGTTCCTTCTCGAGGGTGCCGTTCGTTTAGCATATTCAAGCTAGTTATATTGGATGAAGCGGACGCAATGGAACACACTGCGCAAATGGCCCTTCGTCAGATCATTGAAGACTATGCAGCCTTCACTCAATTCTGCATTATCACCAACAATATTTACAAACTATCACCGGCCTTGATATCACGATGCGCACGGCTCCGGTTTCCACCTCTGTGCCCTTCCGCGATACGCACTTTGATATCGCAGGTCGCCATTATAGAAAATATTCAAATCAGACCAGAGGCGCTAGAGTACCTATCTACCGTCAGCCATGGAGACATGAGGCAGGCTCTGACTGTTTTACAAGAATGCCATCTAAGCAGTACGTTTTGGCCGTATAATGAATATTATACAACTATATCTCCGATAATATAATACTAATTGAAGGCTCCAGAAACCCCACAACAGGCGTCGACATCAGCTCTCCCTGCCGATGGAGTGATTACTACAGAGACCATTCATGAATATACTCACACCCCGCTACCTTCTGATATATCACTTATCATAGAGGAGGCAAGAGGTGACAATTACAGTCACTGCATCGCCTCCATCAACAAAATAAAGAGTGAGAAGGGCCTGAATCTAGCTGATCTCTTAACTGCGCTCACTACTCAACTGCAGCACGCACAGGTGCCTGCCTCTGTCAAGATTACCTAGTTAGACGCTCTCTCTGAAATAGAGGCTAACCTAGCATGTGGAGGCTCGGAAGAAATCCAGACTGGGGCATTGGTAGGAGCCATCAAAAAGGGTTGGTTGTTAAGAGCCAGGTTCCTGGGATCTTTTGACTGTGCATATCAAGAGGCGGAGGTTCGTATTTGTATGTAAACTTATGCAGCTGAGAATTGATTGGAAGGTCTGAACTAATATTTCCTGAAACTTATACTAACTGACGCATAAAAGAAGCAAATATATGATGGTTTCAGAAAATGTAGCTCGCTTGTGCGCGCAGCTTGCACATTGTACATGTTAACTGATGGGAAGCCCTGCTAGGCTCTCTGACGCCAGCGACTAGGTGCCTGGCCCATGTCCTGATGCGGGGGTTGACGCGTATAAAACTTCAAGGCCCAGGCCTCTGTTAGTTCCACGCAACACGTGGAAAAGACGCGTTTTAAGTAGGCGCTGATTTTGATGCTCTTCAGTTCCTCGCTCATGGTCAATAGGGTCTATATATTTTTGCATCTGAGCGAGAAGCGAACTAGTACAGTGACACTATAGACTGAACAGCATAATAACCTGGCCATGTTTTGTAAAGTAGTGCTCATAGTTCGCTCTGCCTGCCAGCTGACTGCTGATGGGCATTACGCAAAGTAGACGATCACCTAGGCGCATATCTTGATTGGATGGGGGTCTGAAAGTAAAAATGCCAGAGTGAACATCACACCTATAGTATATGACTCTGGCCACTTAAATACAACCAGCTATTTGCTGTTTTTGCGACCATAACCATTATTTGTAATAATTCAGCTCTTAATGAGCTATCAGATATGTGAACTAAATCATTCATCCTGCACTATACTATTTCCAGAACTCATTTATGTGCAAAAGAAAGGAAAAAGTTTCAGAGCTGAACAGGCAAACATGCATTTACTGCCGCAACATAATGGCCCCATGTGATAAGCTCCCTGGTACAGTCATCTGGATTAATCACACACTTAATTAAGGTTAGTCCGCTGCGGTTAGCTTTTGCCTTCTCAATGGCCTCAGCCAGTTCACTACTGGTTGTCGCACGGAGACCACAAGCGCCACCATCAGTGGAGTTAAATGCTTGGGCCAACAACGCATAGTCCCAGTTTTTGATCTGGTTATAGATCCCATTATGGATTTCCACCTCAATTGTGTATCCTTGGTTGTTGACCAATATTATGATCACCGGAGTCTTGTACCGAATCATCTGCGAGACCTCCTGCGCTGTCATCTGGAATGCCCCATCGCCGACCATCACGACCACTTAACGTTGGGGTTCTGCGACAGCATAGCCAAACCCTGCCGGTATCGACCATCCGATATGACCCCATTGCATTTCGATCTCAAACTTGGTGCCCTGGGGCAACTTCATATTAATTCCATTGAACCACGAGTCTCCCGTGTCCACAAATAATGTCGTCTCTGCGGTCAGCAACAGTTGAACCTGCCGCGACATTTCTTTACGAGTGAGCAGGGCCATTGAACTAGATGCCTCGATTAGTGAGGGATCGGGGCAAATGCGATTGTACTCAGTCAACGTCGTTTCATTCCTGTGGACCATCTTTTCTAGCCCAGACAGAAAGTCCCTCAGATGAACCCGCCCAAACATGGCTCCAGGGAAGAAGATATGGTCCAACCCCGCAATCATGAGAGCTGTGAAGGCAACGCCCACGCACACAATTGCATCCGTCCAGTTGAGAATGGAATCCGCGGCGAGCGTACTTACCTGGCCCCAGAAGATCCCCGCGTACTGGGGATGATCCTCTGGGAAAGATCCTTTAGCTGCTGGCTGCACGACTACCGCACAACCAATTGCTTCAGCAAGACGCAGTAATTCAGTGTCGGCAGCAGCTCTGCGCACTTTAGGACCGACGAGTATGATCAGTTTTTCCTTCCCGGACAGGTATTCCGCAGAACAGTCAATTGCTGCCAGCAAAGAGTCATTGTCACTCTGGATGGGATCAACCACCGCGCTGATAGGACCAGGTCGTGCACATGGAGCGCCTGAGAGGTTCGTCGGAATTTCGATATATGCCGGCCTTTTACTGATCAAGGCAGCCCGGATCGCGCGGTCAATCAAACGCGGAGCGTCCTGCACTCTCCCCACGGCGACAGCGCTGCAGGTAATTTTCTCCGCCATCTGGAGCTGATAGGCGAAATCACTCGTTCCGAGGGTATGGTGTAACTGATGAAACTGTGCTGCATCATTGGTATTCGGGGATCCGCTGATTAGAATGAGCGGCAGATACTCTGCATACGCACTGCCCGTACCGTTGAAGGCAGAGAAGGCGCCTACGTTGTAGGTCACAATACAAGCAGCAACACCATTTGCACGGACATAGCCCTCCGCCGCAAGGGAGCAGTTTAGTTCATTTGCACAGCCAATTTCCGATAGCTTTGGGTGGCTTGTAGCTTGTCTAGCAGGATCAGGTTATAGTCTCCAGGAACAACAAAGTGATGTACAATTCCAATCTGCGACAGCCTCTCTGCGAGGTAGTCACCCACGGTGAACACTGCCATGTGGACTCCTATTCTGACTAAAGATTTCCTGCCTCCTCACCAAGGTGCTCCGACTTTGACTAAAGCTTTTAATAGCTCGCCACCGCCTGCGTTGGTATCTACTATTGATGACGTATATGCTCTGTCAACAGAACGGAACCATAATACAGCCTTGATCATACAATCCAGATCTGCCACCACAGGAATAACTTTAATGTAAAATCTAGACCCAACTCCTATTTTTAAGTCGTATGACTCCAACCCGTCATGTACTAACTATCTGTGGATGGCCTGACAGCGGCTCCACCCCCGTTAAAATGCATATTGCTGGTAGTCCTCCAAGTTGATTCTCTCTGAAATTGGATAACTTTCAGTTACTCGTCCAACGACAACCTATCCTCTTTGAACTTCTCGCCCGGTCAGCTTGGCGACTCTTCAGACCAATTATTGTATTGGTAGATTTTCGGATATCATGGAGATACCAGATAAGCAGTGGGCACAGGTCATTGAGACACCAGGTAGTAGTGTTATCTACAAGCAAATTCCTGTTTGGCAACCTGGCCCGGATGAAGTGTTAGTCAATATCAAGTACTCTGGCGTCTGCCATACAGACCTGCACACTATGAAAAGTGACTGGCCGCTTAAGTCCAAGTGGCCTCTTGTCGGTGGCCACAAGGGGGCTGGTATAGTGGTTGCTAAGGGCGAATTAGTCACTGACATCAATATCGGTGACCACGCCGGTGTAAAATGGCTTAATGGATCATGTCTTTCATGCGAGTTCTGCTGTCAGTCTGATGAACCCCTCTGTGCTAAGGCTTTGCTCTCTGGATACACAGTTGATGGAACCTTCCAACAGTATTGTGTGGCGAAGGCTATGCATGTGTCTAAGATTCCCAAGCATACACCCCTAGATGCTGTTGCCCCAATCCTATGCGCTGGTATTACTGTTTACAAGGGTCTGAAGGAGTCCTGTACACGGCCTGGACAAATAGTTGCAATTGTTGGTGCTGGTGGGGGATTGGGATCCCTTGCACAGCAGTATGCAAAGGCTATGGGCCTCAGAGTTGTTGCTATTGATAGTGGTGATGAGAAAAAGGCAATGTGCCAGGAGCTGGGTGCTGAAGTATGCTCTTTATTGATCAACTATCACTGATGAGCAGTTTAATATGGCTAATAGAGCATTCTGCTAGGTGTTTATCGATTTTCTCAAAAAGCAAAGATCTTGTTAATGATGTCTGGGCCGCTACAATAGATGGGCTCGGGCCACATACTACGCTTTTACTTGCTGCTTCAGAGTTACCATTTCAGCAGGCAGCGAGCTATGTGAGACCTTGTAGTACAATTATCGCAATAGGCATGCCAGCCCACACTTATCTTAAAGCTCCTGTATTCAGTACGGTTGTCCAAATGATTAATATTAAGGGAAGCTACGTCGGCAACTAGCAGGATGGGTATAAAGCCATTAATTTTTTTAACCGGGGTCTCATTCATGTCCCCTTCAAAACTGTGCCGCTATCTGAGTTGGGCAAAGTTGTATGAGCTAATAAGTAAGCCGTGTTTTCCATTCCCAAGCCAGTTCTGGATATCAGAAAGAGGACGTACACTTACCAGAACAACAGAGCAGGAAAAGATTGTTGGCCGCTACATCCTGGAAATGCCAGAGTAGAGACTCTCAACTGTTCTCAGTATAATAGGTTGAGTAAAAGCTTTTGTAATTTCCTATTAGGATTCTGTCGATAATAAGGACTGTCATAGGAGAGCAGGCTAACTTCCGAGTTTTTGACCGCAAAAATACCGAACTCTTCCAAGGTGTATTAGCAGATAAGAGTGATCGAGGGAGAAGAAAACGTGCCAGTGGTCCTTTCCTTCTACTAGCTTCCTGCTAGGTACATTGCAATCAAGACTTTGACTCCTCTTGTCCACTACAATAAATTTATAGCATTTGTCTCTTAAAAGATATGTTGAAGCACGTTACAAGCATAGTGACCTCATGTAATGGTAGCAATCTGCAACCTAGCAGACTTTACAGTGGTCCCATGACCATCCGCCGCTCTTTACTGACCTTCCATGCTTAATCTTTCCAACATCTTTATAGGATACTCCTCATTCTAACTGGACTGACACGTCTCTTGATCCCTTTGCAGACCCTGGTGGATAATAATCTATCTGTTACGCCAGAAACACATGAATTCTGTAAGCACTCAAATGATAATTTAAGGGGAAGATAATTATTTGGTTACTGCGGGATACAAAGTGTTCGTTATATGGGGTGAGCTGAATATAAGTGCTGGGAGGCCACCCCAGGGTTGATTGAGAAATGGGCATGGCTATTAAAGGGCGGCAAGTAATTGATTGAAATAAACAATCACTGGAGGACAATAAGGGGAGAAACCCACTATTCTAGCTAATTGATTTGCTTAGATGGCCAAAAAGAGCTTCTAACATAACTAGCGCGATGCTTCGCGGCCGTCTACCTTTCTGGGTAGTGTATTGACTCGAGTGTAACCGATCTCCAGGGGACACACATCAAAGTGGGATAGACCTGGTGTCGGGTGTATGATACAAAAGAGTATAAGACCAGCTACTCTTCTAAGTCAGTTTCTGTACAGCGCAATACAATTTTCAGTCACAAGGGTAGTCCGGAATAATTCTGGATATGGACAAGCATAACCTTGTATTGGCAATTAGAATTTTTAGAAACAATCAATGAGATAAGTGGTGACAGCTTTTCAGAACGTATCGTATACGGCTGGCAAATATAACTATCTTTATGATCTCAGCAGATTACTGATCTCTGTATATAATTCTCAGGCTGGATCTATATGGAGCATGAAACGGTTGGGTACCTTCTCAATATTGACCTACCGTACGGTCGTACATAGCTTTTTTTGTCAGCAGAACGGTCATGAGAGTCATTTATCTGTATTATCATCCAACATTGAATGCAAAGCATATGTCAGTTAAGAGAAGATTATGTTACAGCGTGGCATGACGTACATGACGTCTCCTGGTTAGGTCATAATCACTAATGAATCTCGATCTAAACGTCATTCCCCACAGCACCCGATCCGATCAGCCCACTCAGCCTTTGGAGCTAGTTTCCAGCCAGCGCATAACCTTAAAAGGCCGAGTCTCACATACTGGGCGTATTTAACTAGATGACAGCATTGTCAAACATCATGAATAACGCGCTCGTCCCAAATCGACTGAAGCACGCGCTCCTCCCATTCTATTTACTGCTATAGATGCAATCTGTACATTTATCACAATAGTAGTCATCATGCTCTCCAGCACTGGACCTCGCGTTGGCATTGTTGGTGTAGGCCAGGTTGGCGCCGCAGCCGCGAACGCGCTTATCATGAATTCGGTCGTGCATGAGCTGATCCTGGTTGATATCAAATCTGAGCTCCGAAATGCCCAAGTCCAGGAACTCTCTGACGTGAGCCGAGTGAGCGGACGTGTGGAAATGCGCGTCCGAGCAGGGACATATCATGAGGCTGGGCAGTGTGACATTATTATCATCACAGCGGGGTCTAAGTTCTCTGTTGGCGAAACCAGCGTGCAACATATGTATCGCAACCTAGGGATCGTCCGGAGTGTGATCCAGGCGATGCGCCCCTTCCGATCGGATGCCATCCTCCTGGTTGTGTCAAATCCCGTAGATCTGCTGGCCACCATCGCGCAACAGCTCTCCGGCCTGTCCCCCTCGCAAGTCTTGGGGTCTGGTACCCTTCTTGACTCAGTTCGGCTGCGTGGACTATTGGCCAACAAAGCTGGAGTACATGAGGGCCGAACCCGAACGTGACCTGACTGACGGTTGTGATCATAGGTCGCCGCGGACGCAATTGATATCCATGTTCTTGGTATGCAGGGTCTCGATGAGGTCGTGGCCTGGTCAACCGCCGCTGTGAGTGGCGTGCCACTAGCCTCCGCCGTGCCGCCGGATACGTTTGATCCTGTCCAGCTCACCAATGAGTGCAAGCAGATCTCCCAGGCCATCATCAAAGCAAAGGGGGCAATGCCCCTTGGGATCGGCGCTATCATCTCCAAGATCTGTTCATCCATCCTCGGTGACCAGCGAGATATCCTTCCCATCAGCCATTTTCAAGAGGAGTTCGGCTGTTGTTTCAGTTTGCCAGTGGTCCTGGGACGGAAGGGAATTATCAGCACGATTTGGATTCCGGTAAATGGGGAGGAGTGGGGTAGAATTACCAAGTCAGCCGGAGCCTTGAATGAGATAATTGAGCATGTGAACGAGTGATTCGTCCTTCGCCTGCTGCAGTGAGGAGATTATTATGTATTATCTATTTCGGACTTTGCTTTTCACTATCTTTTGTCCTAATCGATAAGTGTAATAGTATCCAAGGCGGGTTCATGACGCGTAGTTAGCAATCTTGACACAATATAAAGCATAATTTAGACGTCTTTTACGTTACAGGGGTAGTAGACTATCAGGGCTACTCTCAGAAACATATTCAACGATTGGGAATGCCCCGCTCACTTCTAATCAGATGCCGCTTGATGGTCACGAAACTGTCCGGACTGACCGAAATCGAATCGATTCCCCGGTCTGATAGGAACTGAGCGAACTGGGGGTGGTCACTCGGTGCCTGGCCACAGATCCCGATCTTGCAGCCCTTTTGACGTGCCACCGTGATCACCTGTGCAATCATCCACTTGACAGCCTCGTCTTGTTCGTTGAAGATGTCCGCAAGCTCGGCCGAATCACGGTCAACGCCAAGAGTAAGCTGTGTCAAGTCGTTGGAGCCGATGGAGAACCCATCAAAGCAGTCCGCGAACTCCGCAGCCAGGATGACATTGCTAGGGATCTCACACATCACATACACCTGGAGGCCGTGGTCCCCGCGCCGCAGCCCATTGTCTGCCAGCACGTTCAACACCTTGTGCGCCTCGTCCACCGTGCGACAGAAGGGGATCATGACGATGGCGTTGGTAAAGCCCATCTCGTCGCGCAGTCGCTTAATGGCACGGCATTCGAGCGCAAAGCCCTCGCGGTACCGCGGCGAGTAGTAGCGAGACGCGCCGCGAAAGCCAATCATTGGGTTATCCTCCTGTGGCTCGAATTCGGCGCCACCAATGAGCCCTGCATACTCATTGGTCTTGAAGTCGCTCATGCGGAGGATGGCGGGACGGGGATAGACGGAGGCACAGAGAGCCGCGAATCCTTGCGCCAATTGGTCCACAAAATAGTCGCAGCGGTCGCGCTCGTAGCCCGTCGTCAGGCGCGCAATCTCGGCTTTGGCCTCTGCATCCTGCAACCGGTCGAAGTGGACCAGTGCCATTGGGTGCACCCTGATCGCGTTACTGACGACGAACTCCATGCGCGCCAACCCGATCCCGTCTACGGGCAGCCGCCACCAGCGGTAAGCGGCCGCCGGGTTGGCCAGGTTGATCATCACCTGGGTCTTCACTGGCGGTAGGCCCGTCAGATCCACGGTCTGGGTTGTGATCTCCGCGCGACCCTCGTAAACCAGGCCCGTGTCCCCTTCAGCGCAGGAGACAGTGATCTCCTGCCTCGTGTGCAACACGTAAGTAGCATTGCCCGTGCCCACAACCGCCGGAAGGCCCAGCTCGCGGCTGACGATTGCTGCGTGCGAGGTGCGGCCGCCGTGGTCCGTGACGATCGCGGCCGCCTGTTTCATGATGGGCACCCAGTCCGGGTCCGTGGTCGGAGTCACCAGAATCGACCCGTTGACGAACCGGTCTTGGTCCCGGGCCGATTCGATGAGACAGACGCGGCCAGCGACCGCCGCTTCTCCGATAGAGACGCCCGTAGCCAGCACTCGGCCCTTGCCGTGGCCAACCTGATACGTCTGGAGGCGGGCGGTGGCATCGCCCCGGCGCGAATGCACTGTTTCTGGCCTTGCCTGCACGATGTACAGGCGGCCCGTGACCCCATCCTTGGCCCATTCCATGTCCATGGGCCGTGCATAATGGCCCTCAATGGTACACGCCCAGCGAGCGAGCTGGAGAATCTCTGGATCGCTGAGGACGAAAGTGGCGCGCTCAGCTTTGGACGTTGGCACGTTATGCGTCGGCTGTCGCGGATCGTCACTGTAGATCATCTTGATTGCCTTGTCCCCTCGCTTCTTGCTGATGATGGGCCGCAGCCGGGCATTATCCAGCAGAGGCTTGAAGACCTGGTACTCATCTGGGTTGACCGCGCCCTGAACGACATTTTCGCCAAGACCCCACGCGGCATTGATAAGCACAACCTGGTCGAAGCCGCTTTCTGTGTCGATAGAGAACATGACGCCGGACCCCCCGGCGGCGGACCGCACCATCTGCTGCACGCCGACGGACAGCGCGATGCCCATCTGGTCAAAGCCCTTGGTCTGACGGTAGCTGATGGCCCGGTCCGTGAAGAGCGAGGCGTAGCACCGCCGGCAGGCATCTAGTACTGCCCTTTCCCCTGTAATATTGAGGTACGACTCGAGCTGACCGGCGAAGCTGGCGTCCGGCAAGTCCTCAGCAGTAGCGCTCGAGCGTACTGCCACGCTCGGTTCGGAGACGCCTACTCGGGTGGCTAGAGCGCGATAGGCGTCCCGGATGCGACTGGCGGCATCTTCCGGCCAGCTTCCATGAAGAAACAGCCGGCGCATTGTCCTGCCCGTCTCGGCCAGGGTTGTCTTTTCCGCTTCCCAGTCCGCAATCAGCCCGGCCATCGTGTCCCGAATCCCATTGGCGTCCACGTAGACCCAGTATGCCTGAGCTGTTGTGGCAAAGCCAGGAGGCACTGCGATTCCCTTTGTCCCAAGGGTGTTGATCATCTCACCCAGCGAGGCATTCTTACCTCCGACAACGGCACCATCATGAAGTCGGACTTGCTCAAAGTCACGAACAAGAAGATCGCTGTTCTGTGTGCTTGTTGTCATTCTTGCTTATAGTTTTGTTCCCTCTCTGAGGTAGAAAAATTATGTGTAGACAAATTCGTGCGTGATTCAAGACGTTCATTTGCAGATGCTGGACCGTAAAATAGGCCAGATGCACCCGTCGAATCGTAAATGGTCATCCCATGCTCACCAGAAAGGCCAGAAGACAAAGACTGGAAAATCCAATCGCCAACGGTTCCACGGATCGACAGATCCTACACTCGGCCGGTGTCTAGTCGATCCCCGAGCTGAATCACATGGTAACTCCAAAGATCTCCTGATCAGTTATATTGGTCTGGAATGGGCCTACGACTGTCAAACGCATCATTGACTGTCACTGCTGTGATGTATGAATTAGATGTTCCAACATCATGCCTTTTCTCCACTCCCTTATTTGACTGCTCAATTGATATCATGACGCACTTTAATCTGCATCAGGATATCTGCCTAATGAGCAAAAAATTTGCATCCTTAATCCTCGTGTTAGGAAACAGCGCATAGTTACAATAGTCAGCTAGGTTGAGCTCTCATAGTCTAATAATACTCATCAAAGTAGCAACAGTTAGTGTGCAGGACAACAACTGAAAGGTAACAGATTAAGACTGGTCATCCATTGGTGGAGCTAGGGCCGAAATTAGCATTAGTGGTTTAAAGCATGGTGTCTTAATAGGGCATTCACTACTATATTAAACAAGGGCGGCCCCCACCCCCCATACTAGTTGTACAAATTCTTTTTATCTCTTTCAGCTTGGACAGTATCATCGGAAAGGGATATGCTGATCAAACTCCATGGGGCTGGAGCCGCTGGACACCAAGCTTGTAAAATCACGTGACCAGACATGGAGTCTTTGTCTCAAGCTGCTGTTTTCCGTCATATGAGCTCAACTTTGGATGGATTCCAGTTGAGCTCTAAGGCCTTTTCAGGCCAGAAGATTGGAGTTGAAAACATACTGAAAGCTAAGTAATTGAAGCAGTCATATCAGAGGTAAAATAGAGTAAAATAGCCTAGATTTCATGATAGTAAATAACGACTAGTGTTATTGTACCACATTAAGTTGCTTAAATATGAACGGGTTGAATTTAAATAAATCTTCATCAATGATACTTACTATGAACAATACTAAGGACAAACCCAAAGTTGCTGCTTATTCACTAACTCGCCGCTGACCGAGCCAACTGATAGATGTCTCTGCCATCTGGGTCTATAACTTCATTTTTTGATAGCTTTGATGCTATATAAAACCAGGTGATAGCATTCCCAACAGTGGTAAATTGGTCAGGAAGGCCATTGCATGCCATCTTCCGCGAGAGTTTAGGGTCATTGAGTTGATGAAAGAGACGTGAGATAGAGTTGCAGTCATCTTTGTCCACCAGCCATGTGGTAGGGTTGGTCTCTAGGAATGAATAAGAACTTGCATCCTTGATTGTGATCAGAGGCTTCTGTTTCTGAGTGGCGCACAGGAGAAATTCAGGAATTCCTTCAGGGATGGATAGTTGTATGACAACTTTAGCATTCGAAAGCAGGACATTCCACAATTGATCAGGACCGTTGAATTCTATGACACAGATCAGGTGTGACATGTCATGCATCTTGCTGTTGATATGTTGCATAACTTCATAGAGGAGTGAACCCTCACGGCCTTTAGGAGGGCCATGACGGCATATAAGTAGCTTTGGAATGGACGCCGTTGAGCCTTCCTTTATTCGTTGGCAGCAAAACATTTGATAAGCCTGCAGAATAATCATAGTCTCGTCAAGGGGCCTGAATTGTGCAAGGTGTAGAATATATTGATCTAAAGGTTAAATAAATATGTTAGCTGCGCAGTGATGAATTGCAACAGGAGATGGGAACCATTACCTTCTGGATACTGTATAATAGGTGCGTTGAGAGTTCTGCACAGAGAGTTAAACTGTTGGCCGTAGAAGGTGATGTCTTCCTGATTCATATGCTTGTTCAAGCCGTCAAGTCTACAGATTATTAGCGTGTTCATGTGAGATATCCTGAATGCGAACTCACTGGTCGACAGAAACTGGAATATATCCCACACTCTTCCTGGGTAATATCTGTGGTGCCAATTCAGGTGGTACCGGAGAAACCAGTAGGTCCACATCTGATGACCTGGTCTGCACAAAGTCCCAGGCCCTAGCTGAAGGACCACTAGGATCCACAGCCATGCCATTCTGGAACATTAAACGGTTTTCATATAGTACTGGTCTCCCGGGGTCCTGTTGCTTGGATAAAAGTGCTAAAGGGAGTAAGGGTGCACTATCAATGACCACCAAATCGATGCCTCCCTTTGACCTGGGCTGAAGGGGCCCACTGTGGCGCAGCCAATATCGTCTGGCATTCTCATACACCCACTCTAAAATCTCTAACTCCTCATCAAAGGAAAGATAGTTGAGGGAGTCGTCCAACCCCTCTAGGGTGTCCCTCATCTTCTGAACAATATTGTGTATCCCTGGACGTGGCTTCGCGACATACCTGTTAAGTAAGCAATATGCCAAAAACCCTCTTACTCAAAAATATTACTGGAGGACAGAGCCTGAACTTTGGAGAAGAAGAAACTCTGTACTCACCATCTAAACTCAACACCCATACAATGGGCAAACCTTACCAGGGCATGTCTCATGTGTACATCGGGCTGGCCGTGAAACGTCAGGCTGAAGAATGCAACTTTGACTTGCTTTTCCCTAAGGCACTGGGCATATTGCTGAGCAATTGCCCATGACCTCGGTTCAACCGTGCGCTCGTAGTCTTGCTTATCTGCAAGACGTGCCAAGAAATTACTATCAACCTCCACAAGATTGTTATGACTGATCTCAGTGTGTATCACATGTCCAATTCCAAACGATCTGGAAGCTGTTAGCTCAGGATCACCTGGCCCATAAGCTCAACTAGATACCGTATGCATTTCCGCGCCATGGAATCTGCTTGCTCATCTAGTGCTTTTCTTTCCCAGCCCCAGAAGGTGGCCACCTCCCCCCGATCATGTGCAGACCTCGCGCGAGCTTCGTGTCTCAGAACCAACGGCACAATATCAAGCTCGAGCCAAAGATGTGAGCAAAGACCTGGGCATTTCAGAACAAGGGACTCTGGCAAGCCAGCACCTATGAATTTTTCCTTGTGCTTAGCGCTATAGTTCCGAAGTTGAGAGATGATCTCCCGCCTGAGCTCAGTCGGATCTCGTGAAGCATGCTCTCCAAATTCATGACTGACACAGTCCAGCAAGTATGTCAAATTACGAATCACAATAGCAATTCGACATCGAGAGCCTTCTTCGACGAGCTCTGAAACTCCTGCCCAGATAGTCTTGGTACATCTGTTAGAGCCACATCGGATTACATTCAACGGAAGAATGAAATGAAAGCGTAAACTGAAGCAGCCCGGTTTACTTACACTTGGAGTTTGCCCTGACCAGGAAATTTCCCCAGGTAAGGGTTGGACAGGAATGTCCTGGTTTTTAGACTTCCTGAGGTCGACCATTACTGCCGTCCTATGGTAATTATATCAAGGCAATGATTCAGCTTTAATTATAAGAGTACATCGAAATTTCGCTGGTGGTTCTCCTCGCCTTTTAAATGCCGATCCTCTGTGTACAATTTTGACCCCAGATTCTCCCACCATCAGCTGTGGGTTTCTTAAGTTGCTGCAATCAGAACTGCCAGACCTCTATGACATCAAAGTGAAATCATGCCACTTCATTCAAATGAAAGGTATGTGGTCATAGGACTTTTTAACATCACAATTCAAACAGAAACGCCAATTTCTATGCTTATATAGATGTCTCTTTGTGATTACACACAGTGCTTGCTGATACAGAACTGTATATTCTAATTATATGCTTCTAGAAATGTACCAAAAGCAAAAATAAATGCAAGCATGAGGCATAGAATACAAATGTGATGCTTTCTGCAAGTCCTATTTCAAAATAGTAACTTATCAATGACCTGGATATAAACTCACTGTCTGATGTCTCTAATGCACCCATGACCGGCGCGTGCATGAGCGGAAATTAATTTATTGCTTGTACTCACTCCTTATTGAGTATCTAAAACAGCTGCGATTTTCCCATCTTGAAACTTGGCCATTGGTAAAACTAGTGTGCTATAGAACCCAGCTGACCTTGAAGGAAATGTGCGTGCGTGATTAAAAAATAATCTAATATTCATAGAATGAAGTGACATTCAAAGACATCACATCTGCAGAATCGTGAAGTGCACTTTATAAACCTGCCGCTAACCATGCTTAGCTAGATATTCGCCACGTGATGTAAAAGCTTCCCCAACAAACACAGGTGGGGCAGGCCGGAGATTTGATGACGGTGGGCTTCCTGATAACAGCACACCAGGACTATAACAGGTTCATACAGTCGTACTAAGGATGCCAATGACAGCAAAATGTCTATGGTACGAACGGACGCCTGGGAACGGATATTGACTGTAAACTGAGATCTTCCCCTGGCCTGTCACGTGAGATGACATCGTCTATAAATGTTGATGATGTCAGCCAGCCTGACTGCCAAATCTAGTAAAGGATTTACGGAACTCTCTGGAATTCTGATTCGACCAATCAGATCACGAGAAATAGATCATATAGCGATTCAACTCGCCAATTCGATTCCAATTCGCTGAAATCTATCTTTCCTGTCTATAAATTCTAGTATGAGATCGTAGATTAGAAGAATCAGACCTTCATCCCTTGATATTCCGCGTATATGCGTTTACCATGCAAACGTTATTATCTCGGATTGGCTAACAGAAGAAAAAGCTAGTTAGCACAAGGCTGTCTTCTGAGCCGCCATCTGTGAAGGTGCTCTGCACTGTGACACGGCGAAAAGCCGAACATGGGGTTTAGGGATATTGTCAGTACTTCCAGCGCCATTTAATCTAATGGCAACATACAGCGTCGCCAGCGTCAGCCAGTAGTTTGTCTTGAAGAACGCTGCAGAGAAATGCTCTTGAAGGGGGACCGGCCTAGCGCACTCTGCTGCTTAGGAGAGAGGAGGAACAAATCCATCCTCTCCTTAATTCCCAGTTGGTGCTTCCTCGCTTCAATTCCCTTCAATCTGTCTTTCCGCTGAGTCATGTGCTTTATCCGCAACGTCTGCTTTGCTCCACGGTCTTTAAAGTGCTCCTGGATATCATCCCACACAGTTTTCCCAGGCGTCGCCGACGGCACTAGCGCGAGTAATTCCTCTACTTGGCCGTCGCAGAACAGTGGGATACATCCAGCGCGGCAGCGGTAACCGGACTCTTCATCTCCATTACTGGCTAATTCCACATCTGCTTCGCTCAGTGCTTCGAGAATATGGATTCTTGACGGGACCACCCTGGCTTCGCTAATGAGGTATACGGCTGCTGTAAGAGAGGCAAGACCAGCCCCTAGAATCCAGACATCGAGGGAACCAGGATTGCGAGATATCGTACTCGCTGACGGACGTGGTGTGAACAGGGAGACACCTTGTGAGCGCGAACGGGGCATTTTTATTTCTACATATTGGAATTGATCAGGCTAATGGCATAATTTGACGCTACTGCCGTCCAGTAAGCCATGTTTGCATCTTATAATTCGAATAATACCTGTCGAGCAATCTGATTTCATTATACTGTGACCCATGGTTCTGCGACAATCAGATGGCCACATAACGCAACTACTTTATTGAAGGATTATACAACTATTTTTGAATCCCTGGCTAGGACCCACCCCACCAATCCACACCCACCCCACCCAATCCATGCTTTAGGTTGGATAAGGGTTGGCCCTAACCCACCCCATGTGGATATGGGTTGAACCTGCCTTATCCATGTGGATATGGGTTAAACCATTGGGTGCACATGACCTAGGGCTACTAAGAGCTAATAAGCTTATCTAACTAGATCTAGGCCTAGATAGGGGGATATTTTTATATATATAGATAGAGAATAGTTATATCTATATATATAAAAAATAAATATTAGGTCTACTAAGAAAGGCTAGAGTTATAGTAGTTTTTAGATTTTAGAGGATAGTAGTTAGGATAGTGATAGTAAGATATATATATCTCTACACTATCTTTTAACCTAAGCTTAGGGGGGACCCCTACTCCCCTATATAAGTTTATTTTAGCTTATATAATAGGTAATATATAATATTTATACTAATCTATTCTTATATTACTTATTAAATATATAGATATCCTAGTGGTGTGGCTAGAATACTAAAAAAATAGGGGGTAATCTAAATACTAGAGGTCACCTGACTAGATAGTATAGATATCCATAGGTATCCACAGTTGAACCCCATGGATATAAGGGGTGGGTGAGATACCTGGTGGTTTACCCAAAATCCACATGGGTTGGATCAGACATGCTGTGGATCAACCCATATCCACCCCACAGCCAGTCTATCCCTGGCTAGTAAAAATATTGTGGGGGCTTATGGCGGCAAGTGCTTTTGTACATAGTTATATCGACAGTAATTGAGGCCTCAAGGCAATATAAGTAACAGACGCATTTTAACTTAGACATATGGTCCTGTCAACCAGAATATGCCTATCATTTCTACTATGCTAGAAATGGTCGTCTAGACACCTATTTGGCGTAGTGGAAAAATGGCTGACAGGTCCACAGACTTATCCTATGTAAGTCAACATCGCCAAGCTTGCCTCGCCAGTTTACCACTACCCGCCGCTTTAGGCTACTTAACTAATTATTCTTCGACTCCAGATTGGCTGAAGACCACCGCCGTTCAACAACAAACGGCTCTGAGGAGCTACCAGTCTTACTTCTGTCTAGCCGACATATATTGGTTGGGGGAAAATCCGCTTTACGTGCATTGTAATTAAGATTTAAACATGAGAGCATTGCCCCATACATGTTTGTTTCAATGGACCGCTTAAAAGATCTCTCGCTGCAAATGTTCGGGGTAACATCGACAGCTTATGCAAAAAAGAGATCTGGCCTATGGTTACTAACAACTGAACCCAAAGTGATTCCATGTAATGCTATATGCCAATTCAACTCCGTCATGTGGGCAATTGCACTCTAAAAAGTGTCCTCCGCCTGGGACGTACTGCTAAAGTCATGATGTCATGGCCCATCACTGCATGTTCTTACTGACCAGGCCACTGGAGATGTTAAAAGAATCAGCTGAGATTGGCACAATTCTTCAAGAATATGCCCTTGTAATAATTATGCAACGTTTGCCTCCTACCGTTAGTCAAGAGTTTTCAACTCAACGCTACTGCGCGTATCCCTTTCCACGTCAACTGCTAGAAAGCTTGTGCCCAGCTCAAAGCTAGCCTGGAGAGACGCACACCAGAGAACACTGAGGCATGGATTCTCGGTAGTGGAATAGCAGCCTTGGCATCAGCACTCTATCTCATCGTGGATGCGAAAGTACCCCCTTGCCAGGTGCACGTCCTGGATTCCCATACTTCATTAGGGCAAGCTTTGCACCAGAAAGGTGACCCTTATAGTGGATATGATCAATTTGCTGGATGCCTACCTGTACCGATTGGGGCGCCTTTGAATGACCTGCTTGCTTTGATTCCATCCACGAGGGTATAGGGAAAGTCTCTCCTTGATGATATCCAGTCAGACTCGGCAGCTCGAAACGTCGATACACGGCGACAAGGCATCCTTTGTTGTTCAAAAAGGGGGAAAGCTTGAGACTGTTTCCACCACGTCCCTGAATTTAAGCATTAAATTCCGGATGAAGCTACTCCGGCTCATGCTCAAAACTGAACATCACCTCGGAAGAAAACAAATCAGAGACTTCTTCGATGAGAGTTTCTTTCAGAGCACCTTTTGGGCAGTCTGGTCCGCTCAGTATGTTCCATTAGTTCAATAACGTGTCTTCTGTTAACACAATTATAATGACTGATATATTAGCGTAGATTCTTCTTCCAGCCCTGGCACAGTGCAATTGAACTCAAGCGGACTCTTCTCCAGTATCTCAACGATTACCGGAGTTTGAGTATTTTAAGCTGTCTGGATATCACAGGTCACTATCAGCATGAGTCGATATTCTTGCCCATCTTTCTCTACCTCCAGAGAATTAATGTGGACTACCGGTTCAATACGAAGGTAAAAGATCTTGTGCTAAATGAGAATGATCGGCAACTATCGATTGGGAAGCTGCAAATTGTGCAGGATGGATTCCACTGGTTCAGGAGTGTAGGAAAGCATGACATTGTCATCCTCACGATAGGATCCTCTGTCTCGGACTCCACAACGGGAACCCAAGACCATCAGCCTGTTCGGCATACTAATGAAATGACCGAGCCCCTTGATGAAAACTGGTCACTTTGGCTATCACCGGCAAGCAAAAACGGTCCATTCAGTAACCACTATGATTTCTGCACTCGCGAATCCGAGTCAACCCTAGAGTCATTCACAATCACCACCCAGGATGTGAATCTTTATGAATACCTTCGGGCAATATCGGAATGCAGTTCGGCGGCTGGGGCATTCATCGCCTTACAAGAGAGCCAGTGGAGGATAAATATTTGCGTTCCAGTGCAACCAGTCTTCTCTGACCAGCCTCAAAATGTGCATGTTATCTGGGGGTACGCCACTTCACCAGCACGCAGAGGAGACTATGTGAAAAAACCCATGCTTCAATGTTCTGGCAGAGAAATTATGGCTGAGATGCTCAGGCACTTAAACTTACAAGCATTGCCACTACATCAGAATACAGTGACAATCCCACACATAATGCCCCGAATGAGCGCATCTTTATTAGCTCGCGCCCCAAATGAGCGGCCAGTGGTCATACCAGAGGACACTTGCAATATCGGTCTAGTTGGACAGTTTGTAGAGATCCCACAGTTCAGTTCCGTGGACGTGAGTTATGGTGTCCGTGCAGCAAAGATTGCAGTGTCCAGGCTCATGGGGCTTGGGAACAAACAGGAAGGCTCACCTAAACTACTGAAACCACCTATTCCTGCATTATGCTTTGGTTCTTTCTTGCGGATGTGACGGCTGTACAGTATTAACTTTGAGAAGTAATGTTTTCACCTCTTGGTCTCCCGAAATGATTTCTCTTCAGTCATGCTTCTTCGGTATTCAGAAATCGCAGATAACTTGATCCTCGACTAGACAATCAGCCAATTAAACAGAGTACCGCCGCATATCAGGACCATGGAAGTACTGGCTGGTTGTGTTGAATGCAGACTGTCCATTACATCATTCTACGTTCTATACGAAGTATTTGAATCTATATGAAGCTTAAAGTAACGTTCCTTAATCGATATTACCGCTAATAGTAAAATCAGTTACTCATAAATCTATGAATGATAAATATCTTATGATACCTCAATTCCAGCCAAGTAGAAACTCCTACTCAGCCATGAAGGGGGGTTGGGCGATTTTGAGGCATTTTGAGGATGACATGTGGGGTTTAATACAACAACTTAAGGGGCGAGAATTGCTGGGTCTAGATCTAGGTCTAGGACTCTAGACAAGGCCCCTAAAAGTTCAAATCATACCACTCACAACTGGTCGTACGAAAGCAATGAAGATATAGTTTACAGTCTTCACCTTGCGGTGTAGAGCACATCATAGAATGGTTGTAGATCATGAGACTCTAGTTACCTTCAGGACCTCTCTTATGCGCTTTATCCAAATGGACAACCGGGTTCATTTTGCGTGAACATTTATTATAGATTCTTCCCCGACTTCGCCATATATTAGTCCAAAGAGACAGATACTGGACAATATACTTCTCAGTCTGCTTCAGTCCGTTTTCAATGACCGAAAACCTATTGAAACCAGAGGCAGACGCTGATGAACATAGGCAAGCTGGAGCAGGTTCGACGCACCAGATGATCAGTGATGACAGGTAAGGTCTGATGAAGAAAGCTGTGCATAACTATTCCAAAATTTAGAATCACTCAGCCTGCTTACAATTTCCCATTATCTTGGTAGGGAAGAGAAACCGGCCCCAGCGTTGTCAGGCGCAACATCTGCACCGCAGCCGGTCTCCTCACTAACATACACCCAGCCTCAAGCCCCTGTTACAGGAGATGGACAGAGAGTAATACCTTTGACTCTCTTGTCTACTCAACCAGCAATGGTGGAATGTCCATATTGCCATGCACAGAGGATGACTCGGACGGACTTTACTGCTGGACCAAGAGCTACGTAAATGGCTCCTACCCTTTTGGCCTCTTGACACAGAGTAACATTTTCTTGTAGGTGCTGGTCCTGCCTATGCTGCCTTTGCATTGGCCCGTTTGCCGCCCTCTTGCCTTGCATCTTGCCAAACTGCAGAGACTATGAACAATACTGCGGGAATTGCAACAGACTTCTCGCTGTGGTGGAACGAACAGGCGCAGTTCGCCTTATAGTCTATTAGGTATGAATGTAAAATCAGTTTCCAGCAAAAACAGTTTCCAATCGGTAGCTTGGTTGTGTTGCCAGCCTTGAGGGATAATCCTAAAGCCTGGTGTTTTGGTACTCGGTCCTCACTATTTTTTGCGAAATATGGAGATGAATGATAAATGGCTCTGAATATCCATGAAAAGTAGGTGATCTAGCAAATATGTTGGATAGTGTGAAGGTCAAAAAGACAAGCTGTAATTTGCGTTCAGACTCTACAGCCCAGTGTACGCTCATGCTTCAGTTCAAGTGTACCAAGAAGAGGAGTGATATAAAGAAAGTCCATTGTATAGTTTCTCTAGCAGTTTGTTACTAAATGGGCTACCATAAGCATAGCTCTTTTTGAGGTATAATAGGCTGTGTTTTCCCTAGCATCATCCATATCGCCCAAGGCCACGACCAGCATGTAGGAACCACATTTCAGATGTGATTAATGCACATGAACATGCACAATATCTTACATAGTTCACAGTAGAAAAACATATTGTGAGTATCATATTAGCAGGAGAAACCACGTAATTCCCACCTAGGAGACTAATTTATGAGGTGGATCGATATACAACATTTCACATGTCACCCATGTAGATGGAATTACCAGTAGGTGCAGCCCATTGAAAATATGATGGACACTAGTGTTCTAACTAGAGATAAGATATCTCTAAAGACAGATATTGATATTTTGCTCGCTAGTGGTTTGGTGGTAGCAGAATAATACATACATATACCATCCATTCCTAAATGCTTAAAACAGAGCCTAACCATCTCTTTAACTCCTTCCCTTGTTGACTCTCTGTACTCTTTAACATGGCACTATAGATTGTATCAACGTGGGTCCCGCCATACCCTACCATGCAAGTGGTATTTGGCACAACTGACTAGACACATGTCAGCATGTAATACACAAACTTCCCAGTGAAAAAAAAAAAAAAAAAACTTTGAACCTCTTCACAAAGTCATTAATCGCCAAGAATAGAATCTCATCCAGACCCACAAGGACCAGGACCTGATCAGTCTTTGCACCCCACCACCACTCTAGAGGCGCAAGCGCCGGCTCACTCCAACCATCACTCTTTCAGCCTTTAAGATACACACTCACCCACATTTCCAGTGCGCCTCTGGGAACTATATCCTTGTGCCTGTTCGTGGCCATTGAGGGCCCATCTGTACGAAAGCTTACCCAGGGCGCAAACCCAAACACGCCTGCAAGATTGGTGTGTCAAGGGACTTGCCATCATGTCCTAGTTACTGACTTACAGGGAGAGCTCAAAAGGATTGATCCCTTTGGTGATACTAGCGGCTTCCTGGGGTTCAAATACATTGTAAAAGGTCTGTGGTGATATGATTTACCGCTTGCCCCGCTTGGGGCACCCCCTTTGACCTTCCCGTGTATTTCTTCTCTTAGCAAGGATCTTTTCTCGACCCGTCGGCCAGGTGGTCTGACCCCTGATATCATACGATTTGATAGATAGTATTCATAGCGTATATTGAAGCACTACGTGCGAAGCATTTAAGTCTTCATTAATTCATCAACCTACTAAGTGATTTCTGAGTTCATGACGATAAAAGCGGCTCCCAACAAAGACCGAGCCAGAGAACCCTACAATACGAGAAAACGTCAAGTTTATGGGAAATGGCTTTGGCTGCCCCTGTGTAAAAGCAAAACTGCGAGTATAATGTTACGAACGTTGCCGCTAAGATGGCCTCTCGTTTTGGAAGCAAATTTGCTTCGGAACTTAATGGGATTTGGCATGTTTCTTGACAAGCCCCGCACACCTCGGCCCTTGGCCCTGATGCTTCGTGAAACAATACCTGCCACCCTCTCTAAATTTCCAGGGAAGATTGGGCTCTTTTTCTATGCACCCAGAGAATGGCGTCAAAGTCACCGTCAGGGCCGTAAGTTCCCGGTGTTATTGAATTTTCATGCAGGTGGCTTCACTATCGGTAGCGCGACCGATGATTGTTGATGGGCCTTAGTTGTTGTGAAAGTTGCAGACATGGTCGTGGTTAGTGTTCAATATCGGCTGGCTCCCGAATATCCATTTCCAACTGCCGTTGAAGACGGTGTTGGTGGCCGGGGATAAATCCCGTAATTTCCTAAGAGAAATGCAAACCCAATTTTGTCTCCACTGTAGTTATTTTTAAGTGTTGATTGGTGCTAATGATTGCTATAGACTTGCTTTCGTCCAATCTTCCACTTTTCCTTTCTTCTTTCTATATATTGATTAGACTGGCTCATGTCGCCTCACGCTGCTTGATAATATTTGGCTCCGCTGTGGTTTCAGAGACACATCGGCGACTCCGGGGATGTAACTCCACCCCAAGGGTAATCAAAGAAAAGGATGTCAGATCAGCAGCGATTACGAATTAGCCTGTGGGTCACTTTCAAATGGCTGGTGAACCCAGTAATGTTAATGTCGGGGATAGTTGGCGGCTCCCCGATCGGTGGACCATGAATGGACAGTGGCAGTGAGTGGAGTGTGCACCATTCCACCGAAGAATAAGCCAACCCCATGTCTGTCAAGACAATATTGACAAGGAACGAGAGGCTATTTCAGCAAACCCTGTTGAGCTCTGCCAATTGAATATGTTAAGACATCCATTACTCCGTAATGAAAATGCACCTCGGGGCTAAGCGACCTGGTCTAGATGTGCACAACGGATACCCCGTCATACGCGTTCTTCTGAAAGTACAGATTTACCTGCCTAAAAGATTGAAGAGGAGTTGATGGTTAGTTCTAGTATTTCACCAAGTAATCATGAGCATGAGCAGCTTTTATGAAAATGAACAACCTAACCTAGAATTGGTGTCGGTTCGGGCCGACAGTCTTGACAGTATATAAAACTCTATTTGTAGAGCACATAGTGCCACAGTCACATACCGACGGCACTTGGGAGTAGCCACGGAGTGCTAATCAACTACCACGCTTTCTTTTGAGCTGTCACAGGCTGCAGGCTGCCGGTCCGCTGGGCGCCTGTGGCGGTTACCTTGGAAAGGGCATTAGGCCAACCGCAAGTGCGGGGTAGATGGTTGATATTATTACCTCCAAGACAAAGAGCATGGTAAAGCTAAGCAGTTCAGGTCGTTCTGACTTTACTGAATAAGCCCGTCCGCTTTACTTGTCTTTCCTAACCGTACATCTTGTAAGGTAGTAATGCTAAGGTAGTATTTCCTAGCTTGTTCTATGGTCAGACGGTAGGTCTGAACCTCTCCTTAAGCAGCCACCTCGCCTTCCTGCTTCACATGTACTTCCTCTCGATACATCTCTTCCTGTAAGACCATACTATCCAGATGCTTTCGCCGACCAAGAAGATATTTCTGATCGCTAGCCATGTCTCGTTGGCGGGGCTCCTATACGGGCTAGACACAGGTCAGTCAAGCACGACCAACACGAAGACGTCGAAAACCGTTGAATAAGATGAGCAGGTTCTATTGGTGTCATCACCCAAATGGACCAATTCGCCGCGTCCATCGGTCACTTAACCTCCATGCAACAAGGAATCTACGTCTCCTGCATCCTCCTTTCCTCCTCAATATCCTCTTTAGCAAGCGGCCACATCTCCGACCGCATTTCGCGAAAATATGGACTCCTCATTGGCAGCATCCTCTTCTTATCGGGACCGTCATTTCCGCATCTTCGCCCAACTTCGCAGCTCTCATCGTTGGCCGTCTGATCACGGGAATGGGAATGGGTCAAGCCATTTCCGTCGCGACGGTCTATCTCGTCGAGATCGCCACGGCGGATATCCGTGGGGTGACTGCCTGTCTCCTGCAGCTTTTCGTTGTAGTTGGAATCATGACTGGGTATTTTATTGCATATGGATCTCATGAGTTATCAGGCAGCATGGCCTGGAGACTGCCGTTCATCGTGCAAGCCGTCATGGCAGCTGTGTTGTCCCTCGGGTTGCTGCTCCTGCCTTTCTCGCCCCGGTGGCTCGTCCAGGCCGGTCGGAGCGATGATGCCAGGCGTGTCTTGAGCAAGTTACGGACAGCAACAGCAGTCGACTCGGAACTACGTGAGATCCAGCAGAGCTTACAGTCAGATAGACACAAATCAGTCGCCAGCTGGGGAGAGATTTTTGGTCGAAAGTACATTAGCCGAACGTCTCTTGGGATCTTCCTAATGTCTTTTCAACAATTGACTGGGGCAAGTTGTATTTTCTCTTGGCTATATGCCTTGGGTCCTATCGTGTAAACCAGACGTTAATTATGAAAGCCAGATTGACGTTGTTCTATATTACGCCCCGATCCTCTTTCGACAAGCGGGTTTCACTTCCGAAAAGGCCTCGTTTCTTTCCTCAGGGGTCACCGGCATCGTGATGTTGGTCTGCACCATTCCTGCTCAGATCTGGATTGACCGGTGGGGTCGCCGGATGCCCCTTATTATCGGAGGATTGGTGATGGCCATTTCTTTTATTGTTACAGGGTCATTATATGCCAGATTTGGTCACTCCACTGGGGATTCAGTCATTCTCACTTCGACCGCAGCACAGTGGGTAGTCATTGTTTTGATATATGTGTTTGTGGCCAACTTTTCCTGGTCATGGGCCGTGGTAAGTTCTTCTATGCCTTGTTGGTATGGATAACAAACTTGCTAATCACGCCATATAGGTTGGCAAAATTTATGCCTCAGAGATCATTCCCACCAGGCTTCGGGCCAAGGTCTGCGCCTTGGAACTGGTCGCTAACTGGATCGTGAATTTCATTGTAACTCTCACGGCCCCTCTGTTCCTACGGTCGTCGCCCAGCGGTCCATACTTTCTCTATGGCTTTGCCACCATCCTTGCCGTGGCAGTCTGCTACTTGATGCCTGAGACGAAAGGACAGAGTCTGGAGAGGATCGAGGGATTATTTGAAAAGAGGGTAGATGGCGAGGAGCCTCGCGTATAGATGTTATCCAGTCAGTCCATACGATGTAGCACTTCAGATTCTGTCAGACAAGTCTACATTAGAAAAATGCTACTATACTGACCAGATTAACGTCCTAATTGGGGTGCTGTTTGTAGCCATCGAGCTCCTTCTTGTCTACCCGCCTGTAGATAACCTGCCATCAACCCTGTCTTCCTATAAACAAGCATCCCCGAAATCATGTCGGTTTCCCCAGATCTGCGGCTGAAAAGCCCATCGATGTATTGTCCCAGGCAACTAATTACTGCTGCAACACATTCCTAGCAATTTCTCCTGGGAACCAGAAGACATACTACACCTATAGTTGTTCTGAGTTACTACTATAACCAGACTGTCCCCAAGATGATCCTCGCAGCTGGCGAGTCTTGTCTAAAAATCCCACTACCAGCGCATCTAAATGAGTGGATGCAGGAATTTATTACATTACACCATATACCCACGATAGGGAAACTTTTAGCCATGGGCGCATCTGCACATACGGAATGAAAAGTGACCAGATCCTCAATCCTCAAGCTAAGGTATGTCAGAGGGGTCCTCTAACTATCTCTATCCAGATCTCCGTTCCATGCACAGTCAAGATTTTCTCTGGATATCATCACTTGCTAAATCTGCTTATTTCTTAAGCCACAGAGATAATGAGCCTTAGCAAATGCGTGAGATCCATATACTGCATGGCTGGTCCCATGCGTTGCGCAAGGAGGATCGCCAAACGGCGTTGAAGGTTTGGTAAGTATCGAAGTATCTTCCACAAGTACTCCGTAGATAATTCGGTGGGAGCTCTGAATAAGCTCCTCCAATACTACCGCAACAATGACTCCTACATTTACGTAAATTCACAAGCATAGCCACTACTAGCACATGGGCAAGTCGAACAGCCGCGACTTCCGGGCACCGAAACTAACTCAGATGGCATTGTCAGCAACTCTAACCAAGTTGCTATGCTTGTAAGTGGACGAGGCTGCTATGATTTTACTGAACCGCGTAAAATAACACTGGTGCAACTATGTACTTGGAATCCTATTGGGAAGTGGTGGTGGCTCAGGCAGTCAGGCCTAAGATCTAGATAATAGACTAAGGTAATTGTTCCAGAAAAGTCGCTCGCCAAGGCATGCATGGGGCGGAGTACTCCGCCACGAGGATGGCTTCTAGAAGACTGCCAATCGAAGAAATGGAATGACAGGGAGATCTACCAAGTCTGAGTGTCTGACTGGCAGACCACGCCAAAACCATTCACTTGAGCATTACGAAATGCATTGTTGTGGAGGAAACCGAAAGCCTTGAAGGAGAGAAGAACACGATCATGGTAGAGGACGATGTATGATACCGAGGACAGAGGTAGATGTACTCTGTGGAACTCACCGGTATATCTACTTGTATGTTGTTTCAGACTTGAATATGAGACAAGAATGCTTCCTAGTGCTGGTGGTAAAGGCATGCTCCTGGATCAGTAGTCAGACACATCCTACAAGTTCTAAACAGAATTATGCTGTCGTCAAAGTTGCTACAAGCAAATGAGGGGCAAAATGCTTCAGCAATGGATGGTGTGGTTGGCAGAATCATTGCTAATCAACAAAGAAATATCGTAGGAGATCATAATCATATTGACTACTGTGATTGACAATTTGATTATATCAATGAGAAACTAATAAAAGAGTGAATCAGTAGGGGTTAAGGAGGATAGTGAAGATAACAAAAAGGATAGGTAGATGGGATAGATGATATTAGTGTTGGGGAGTCATTGAGAAACTGTGAACTTCCAGTCCACATTGAAGGACCTGAGATTATTAATCTTGTCATTTCTGAGTACATCAAGATCCATGGTTTGCTTGCGAGAGAGCTGTGGTAACCTCAGGCAGGGCCAGGTACCGTCTTCAAGGCAGTAGGGCACCCATGGATCAGATCCGACTTTTCTACTCCACCAGTCCCAGACACTCAACGTATCGAAACCTCATGAATGAAACACAATGAATGAGGCTCAAAGGAGCCTGGTGATCATCAGTGAACAGTGCCCAATACGAGTCTCGACATCCAAGATGAAGGATGCTAGATGGCAAGGAGAAGGCGGATTACTCGGGCGCAATCCTCAGCCACTGTCTTTGTCAGTGTCAGTGATGAAGTCATGACTAGTGGGACCTCTCTATCTTCAGATCACAATATAAATACGGAGCCGATCTAAGGAAGACTTTTGAGACTGCTATCACATATATTTATTGTTCTATTGACAATTACTGCTCTTTTGGTTTTTGGTAAGAGTTGATTCTCAGGGTTGACAGCGTGAGATCGACTGTGCTTGTCAGTCAGCGAGTCACATCGCCTTGTCTCGTCTTGGGACCTCATCACTTGCAGACAAAGTTGCAGCACTACTAAGGTAGGTACTTGACGCTACTGTACGTACCTCTGATTGCAGTTGGATCTGTCTTTTCTTCCCTCACTCTTGCCTTCAATATCATCATCATATCATCCTTTTCATCAACTCTACCACCTGCATCATCACATCGCCTCCTCGTCTCACGTATCTTATCTTCCATCTTTCTTTTTTTAATTCTTGTTGTACATCAGCCCCCGCGTCCTTCAGTCATCTCCATCAAGATACCCCTCTTTGTGGCTACCCTACCGATACTGGCACTTAGCATCCCTCATTGAATCTTTATTCTTTTCTTCATCGAATACCTTTTCATACCTTATCCTTGCGCCTCTTGACTTCTTGGCACTTGACTCGACGCCCGACAGCCCGTGTCTTCCGTCAGCCTTGTCCCTCAGCCTGATTGATCGTCAGCGCTGATTCTTCCCCACTTCGCTTTCCTTGCCCCCCTCTCTCTTCCAGGCACTTCTATTCCTCTTTTCGTTCCCTTCGTTTAAGTCGACTTTCTCCTTTGCTCTCATCTCCTATCTCCATATACTCGTACTTCTGTTTCCCTTGTCGCCGTGAACGAATTTCTTCCTCATGTCATCTTACATTTACAGAGAACGCGAGCGAGATCGCGAGTGGGACGAGCCTCGTTCCTCCACCGTGTCAATCAAGCGTTACGTCATCCCTCCAGAGGAGGATCGAGAGCGCGAATTTGTCTACCGTCGCGAAGACGCCGTCACTGGTGATCGAGAATTGGTAATCCGTCGCTCTACCGAGCGCGAAGAACCCGTCATGGTGCAACGTTACGAGCGAGAGATCGACTATGACTCGCGCCCGTACGACTACCGCTCCGAAAGAGACTACTATGATGGTGAGTACCAATGTCTGAATTCCGGCCCGAGTAAATCTGACACTTATGTAGCGCGAGGTCCCCTCATTGTTCACCCCCGTGAATCCGACTATGAGGTTGTCCAGCGGTCCGAGGTAGAACGGGAACCGGCTTACTACTATCATCGCCGGGTCCGCGAATATGACGACGACCGTCGCCTTCGTCGCGAGCTCAGCCCTGGAGACTCCATCTCTCAGACCAGTCGTCGTCGGGACGACCAAGACTACAGCAGTGATGATAGCATGGTCTATATTCGTAAAGAGACCCGCGAATACGACGATCACCCCCATCATCGACGCCACCTCGCGGAGGGTGCTTTGGTCGGCATCGGCGCTGCAGAACTGATTCGCAACCATCGAAAGAAGGAAGGTGACGAGGTGTCTTCGGGCATCAGCCGTCTCGGCCACGACGTGGGTGCCGGCGCCTTGGGCGCTGTTGCCGTGAGTGCTGCTTCGCGCGCACGCGATTACTATCGCAGCAAGAGCCGTCACCGCTCCCACTCATTTGATGAGGATCGCAGCTCCCGTCATCATCACCATCATCACCACAGCCATAGCCATAGCCGCCACAGCCGTCGCAGCCGCAGTCGCAGCCGCTCGCACTCTCGCTCTCGTGCCAAGACATTGACCGAGATTGGCCTTGGTGCCGCTGCCATTGCCGGTGCTATGGCTCTGGCTCGTAAGAAGTCGACTAGCGACAGACGAAGCCGCTCCCGACACCGCCGGTCCTCCAGTGCCATTGGAACCGGAAAAGATGCCGAGGGTCGGAAACGCAGCCAATCTCGGATTCGAAAACATATGGCAGAAGCTGGCTTGGCTGGTGCTGCAGTGGCCGGTCTGGTAGAGAGAGCTCGCAGCCGGTCGCGCTCTCGAAAAGGGTCCCGATCCCACAGCCGACTCAGACAAGCGCTCCCTGTGGTTGCGGCCGGGCTCGGAACCGCAGCCGTCACCGGCCTGTACGAAAAGAACAAGGAGAAGAAGGAAGCGGAGGGGAAGCGGAGGGAGCGACGTCGTTCCAGATCTCGAAGCAGGGCCCCGTCCGAGGCCTACCCAGATCCCGCCCGCGATTCGGCTGGTCTGATCGAGTACGGCGAACATCCGGTTACCGGGAGTATCCCTGCAGCCCATTACTACGGCCGGCCTGCCAGCCAGCAGGGTTACTACTCAGATGCTTCTGACCGAGTAGCCAGGGACGCAGCAGGATTCCGTGGTCGCAGTCGGAGCCGCAGTCGCAGCCGAGGCGGCAGGAATAGCACCAGCTCCTCTGATACCGACAGAGATGGTCATCGACGACGAAGCAGCCGTCGTCGCAAGCATGGAAGCCGTTCCCGTGAATTGGCCGAAGCCGCTTTGGCTGCCACTGGAGTTGGCTATGCCGCTCACAAGTACAAGCAGAACAGGGATCGCAAGAAGGAAGAGAGAGAACGGTCGAGTAAGTCTAGCTCGATAAATACACTGACGAGCTGCTGATTCGGGAGACTAACGCACTTTCTAGAATACGACGATGACTCGTACCCTTCATCGTACCCTTCAGACCTTCCATACCCGCCGTCGCCCCTGCCGCCGACACATCCTGTAGAGAATCAGTCCTATCCCAACTCCAACTACTTCCCTCCACCTCCCGGCTCTACACCGACCCCCGCCGCTCCCCCCGCCCCATATAATCCGGCCGATTACCCTCCTCCACCAGGTGCAGTCCCTCCAGCTCAATCTTACGGTTATCCCCCCGAGCCAGGACCGGACCGGTATGCACCTCGGCCCCGGAGGGCGGATGAGAATGTGAGTGCTGCATGGAACTCTCCCCCCTCTACTGCCCAGTATCCCATGCATGATGGTGGGTCTAGGGACAAAATTAAATCTCTTGACATTCAAGGAACTTGTCGCTAATCAGGACCGCTCAGGTGTAGATAAACCTCCGTCACTGTTGAGAACACCGCGTCCACATACCCCCAGAGATCGCGCACGCGCAGCCAGTCAACCCCCTCAGCCCAAGTCCGTTGCCTTTGACCTCAACGCGGAGGAGCGCCCCATCGACCCTGGTTATGAAACGGACGATAGCGACTCCACCATCGACTCTTCTACTGCCCATCATCATCATCGTGATCGTCATCGTTCCTCCAACACCTCCTCTGCCCACCGGCGCTGCCATTCTTCCTCCGATCCCTACGTTACCCCCCGAAAATCCCAATTTCAACCCAGCTCAACCCCAGCCAAGGGCAATCGTCCCCGCCCCTCCAAAGACAATGATACTTCCAATCCGCAGGAGCCGGATTCCGACTCCACCCTCGACCTGCCTGACCGGTTCGACTCACAGGGCCGACTGCTTCCAGAGCGGGACGATCACCCGCTGGTAGATGGGCTTGAGCAATTACTTCGTGGGATCAACAGGGTGTTTGTCTAGGGGCTTTTGTATCCTTGGTTCCTGTCTTTTTCCTGTCCTTCTTGATCCATGCTTTTCGGTTTCTGTTACTTTTGGGTGGCTTTCTGATTTTGTTTCTGCTGTGATTTGTAATACCTTGTTATTTTGCCATGTTATGACCTGATACGATATCGAGATGCCCTAATGACCATGCTTATGCTTGATGTTATGATGAGGTTTACATAGAATGCCAAACCAAACAATACCGTCAAAATAAACTCAAGAGATATATGTACCGAGCTGATATTGATAAGGGTAATGTATATACACATACACACATGGACATGGTCGCTTCCAAGAGCGAAGAAAAACGGAGAAAAGAAAGAAAGAAAATGACCATCCACCCGAGCAAGTTTTCTAAAACTAAACCTATCTTTTCTAATCAAACAATCTCCCTGCTGGACGCAATGTGCCGAGGAATCAAGCCAAAAGTCATATCGAAGCGCCGCGCTGATGCATCCCATATTCGATGTTTCTGTTCTCACAATCGAAAATAAAGACAATATGAAGAAAAAAAAAAAAAAAATCCATGCTCTTTGCTCTTTTCCGTATTGCTGTCGTTTCATGAGGTGAATATATCAAAGTCATCACACGTGAAGCGGAACCAACAGACCAAAAAAAAAGGTCCTGTCAGATCAAAATGAGGACGAGGGAAACTGTTCGACAAAAGGAAAGAAAAGGGGTATATCTCAAAAGGAGTGACATCAAACGGATCCAAAAGTCAGGACTGACGGTACCTGATTCAAAGAGGGGATCCCAAATGGGAAAGAGAGATATCACCGTCCATGGAGAAGCTAAAAAAGGCATGTCTTACACAGCCCAACTTGACATGTTTGTGGCCGTTTCCTGGTCCAAATTCAAGGATTATACAACTGAAAATAGGCCGAGGACAACTAGCCAGAGCTCATACCAATAGAATGAGACCTGCATCCGATTTGTGGACAATCACCGAGGAGGATGAAAAATCATGATCGCTGGCATCTGTCCGACCCTGAACTATTATTAGGCTGTGAAGGCTCGCGCCACTAGTTCAAGTGTCTTTCGGACACCTCCCGAGGACCGGCTGTCTGAGTATTTCAAACTGCGATCAGATAAGCTGCGACGGTACGCCCTTGATGTGGATATTGAAACTGTGTCATTCTTTCCGGAACCAGGGTCGGGCGTATCATCGTTGTCATCATTGGGCACCACCTTTACGCTAGAGCTCACAGGCGACGAGTAGTACCTAGAGCTCAAGGGCAGTTGATACTTGATGACACCACGAACAATCAGCTCAAAAGGATGCTGAAGCACCCGCTCCCACCGCTCCGTGCCGCCTTCCTCGGTTCTGTTTCCGGGTCGAGCGAGGCGGATCTGGCTTTTGGAAGTAGTGGGTACGTGATTCCATGGAGACGGCTCGAACGCGAGGGGCGAATCGAAGTGGAAAACACGGCCTAGCAGCATGGTCTGAGGATCACCAGCAGGGTCGGTTGGTATGGGATCGGTACCCTTGTCGACGCCTCCATTGAGGGACTCTCTGGCAAGAACATCCCGCGTGCATTCGGTATCCCTGTCACAGCGAGCAAGTTGAGCCATTTCCGCTCGCTTCCTGCTTCGTTCGATGCGAGGAAACTCATCCTGATCTGAGCCGTGATCCCGCCAGAGTTTGTCCGTTCCCACAAATCGGCTTCTGGCGAAGATGTTCACGTCCATATCATCGACAGCCACAGGAAAAAGATTGGGGTTCACGGCCTGAACACTGAGGTCCAACATAATCTCTTGCTCCGAAGCGAGCACGTTCTGGATGGCAAGGACTTGCACGTCCACTAGTGGCTTTGTAATCCCGACGATGAACGAGGTGGCGCCTCCAATGACCAAAAACAGCAAGAGGCCAATGATGAGACAAATACCGTAGCGTGAAAAATAACTGCGTTGCCGTTGTTGCATATACTCCATTTGACGCAAACTGGCACTGCCGGGGCGTCGACCGCCATGCCGGCTTCGTGAGACACGTGTCGACCCGACCAGAGGCGTGCGCTCATCATCCGCGCCTTCTGCATCAAAATCGTAAGGATACATATCGTCCGTCTTCTTTGACCCATTGATCGTGCGATAATTCGGAAGTCCACGCGAGTTCGCATGCCTTGACTGTCGAAGTCCACTGCCAATGAAATGCCGAGGCGACTTGGGATGTGCCTGAGACTGCGGGAACGGCGAGTCATTGTCAAACAGGGACGGATATCCGTTGTTGTTGCGTCCATACCGCCCGATATGGTGGTGCCGGGGAGTGTGCGTGCCGTTATCTACCCTGGAAAGAGGACGGCCGCTTTCGTCCCCAGCATCCCCGTCCACACTACTGGTGTATGTATTATTTGTGAATTTCATGCTGCGTTTACCGGTAACGCTGTGCGTTGAGTCTCTCATGCTATGTCGCGCCCGACCTGCCAGCTGGTCGACTTGGCTTGCCATAGACGTTGCACTGGGTGTGCGGGAATGATACCGGTTCTGCCGGACCGGATATGGGTCTGGGGGATTGGACTCGTAGACAAACGTTTCATCAGAGTCGGAGACGTCGGCCTCATCGACCGCGCTGGCCACTTTCGCTTCAAAGATATCAGCTTTGGAAGATGCGGCGCCGCTGGTGAGGGCAGCAGGTTTGCGAGTTTTCCGTTTTTCCTTTCTCGGACGAATGGTCTCCGTACTCGGCTTCATCCGCAAAGTGCCGCTGTCTACCCGGCCTGAATTGCCACGTTCGCCCGGTACCACGCCAAGAGAAACCTGGGGAATCGAGGTCACCGTCTCGGTCTCGACAATCATGTTGCGGACCGACCCTTCTGCCGGTTTCCCGCGAGCACCGCTCAACGAGGTGGTGGAGCGCTTCGGCATGAGGGACTCGGATCCTCTGGTACCCGTGGATACCCAACGACGAGTGTCTTCCATGCGCTCTGAGCTTTTGTTTCCGCCACTGTCACTTCCACTCTCGACATTGTTATTATGTCTGGACGCCTTTGGGGTTGTGTCTTCATCGATCTTTTGCAGCTTGGGCTCCTCCGGCAGAGGCTGGTTCAGAATAGTATCGGCCGACGGTGTCGAGGGATCGCTGGTCATCTCCTCTACGGTCTCGAGGGCAGACCCGGGCGCATTGATGCGGCTGCTCACGTTGCGAGGTGCACTCCGATCTCCTCTGGCGGCAAAGTCGTCGGACGGCGGCAAGGATCGCTTGCTCGAGGTATTCGGAGGGGTAGAGCCCCATAACGGCATGTTGCTAGATTTTTCTGGGCTGGGAACATTGGTGGACGGTTCGACATTCGGGGAGGCGCTCAGCACAAGAGGCTTGCTGGGCTGGGAGAGCGCTCTTTGCACAGCGGTCGCGGTAGGAACTGGTATGGACCGTTGCGGACTACGATCCTGACTGTTCCGGCGTGACCTGGAACTGCGAGGTGCCGACGTCGGGTTGCGTGCACGACGGGAGGAACGAACGGGGGAGGATTCGCGCGAAGAGAGGGCGGAATTCGTGGTAGAGGGAGGGGCCGAAATGGCGGGAACTGCAGACGATAGTTTTGGTAGCTGGGCCAGAACGGATGCCTGTGTTTGAGATTTAAATGCAGAACGTGGCATTTCCACCATATCGCTTTCACTCGCAGACCGCCGGGATGCAAATGAGGCAGCCTCATCATCGTCTTGGGCCAGGCTGGGTCCACCAGAGGAACCATCGGGGTAGGGCGACCTCTCGGACTCCGCTGCCATGGTCCTCTGTCGAGTCAGAATATGCTGACACGGTATTGACAAGTCAGGAGATCCGAGAGGGTACCACTAAGCTAGGGAGGAGCAAAAAAAGAAGGTTGGAGAAAAGGAAAGGGAAAAAAGCCCGGTGGGACAGGTAATAATGTTGACCAGCGGGAAAGTGTAGGGGGATCGAATAATGGGGCGATCGCCTGCCGTACAGAAGAAGGAAAAAGACACGTTAGTGTTAACACGGTAAGGTAGATGAAATCAAACGACGAATAGATAGACGAAGACCAAGGCCATTATGAGTTATGAGTTATGACAACTCATGGAGAGACGGTCCAGCCCCTGGGGGTCTGTTACAGTGATGTGACACCATTATGTAAAATTACCCGCGGACTTAGGGAGGATGACGGCGACGAGATGGTATTATTATTACCTTGGCGGTCATCATGACCTCATCTGCGTCCGACTGCCCAGTTTTTCCACACAAAGAAGGAAGAAAGAGGGAAGAAGGATCCAGGAAGTTTCGATAAATCGATACCGCTATGAAAACTAGTAGAAACAGAGCAAGTCGTAGGCACCTAACTTGATCAGAAGACGGGTTGGATGGAACGTCTAGAACTAGCTCTGTCCCCTCCACAACTGACTGCTTTGCTTCACTGTGGGATGTTGTTGCATGTCTCCCTCTCTCTTTGCTGTGTTCCTTTCCATCCATCGTAGTCATCTCGTGGAGGCTTTGTCTTCATCGCCTTGTTCATCATCTTCCGAACCCTTGAATCCGTCTTCTAATCTCCTCCCTCGCTTTCTACGCACCTTGTCTCTCCGCCATTCCGATCGGTGACGAGTCCGGTCTTTCCCACGCTACCTAACCATTGTTCCTTGACGTGGGCGGCTACCATTGGATCTCGTCTCTTCCCTCCCCTGACTGGCCGATCGTGGACGGGTGCGCTACCGCTACCGGCTTTTTACCTTCACTTCTATTGATCGAATTTCAACGTCCTCGTTTTGCCTGCATCTTTCCCTTTCAACCTAACTCCCGTCCCTTTTCCACACCGGCTTGGATTATTATTGCCACTGCGAAGACTAAATTCCTTGCGTTCCAACTTCCCCCTGCACTTGTTCACCTGCTACTGGCGAGGTCTGCCTTGCCGAGATCAGTCATCCATCACTCAACAAACCGACACGGGCGTGTGCGGAGTTGCTGATGCTCAAGTGATCCAGACGCTGATCAGTCAAGCAACATTGCGGTCTGCAGAGGTTGCTGGCAGAATGGGACCATGACCATATTGGTGGAATCGATTCCGATCTCGCCGGAGTACGCAGGTAGGCAGCCATATTATTGTTTTGATTTTTATACAACCTTGTGTTGGACTAGAGATACTATATAAAACGGGTAGCTGGATAATGAAGCAATCATTTCTCCAAACATGGAAACATGGAACAAAGCAGACAACGGAGAGCCCTTCTATACAAACAGAGCACACATCGACCCCAAAATCCACCACCCATCTATCCAACAGTGACCTGTGCAATCCGTAATAAATACCAGGATATCTCTTCAGAGAACAATATACACATTCAGGGTATCATGTTTCATCGTCATAGCTCTGCGCCGAGCCGATCGTAACATCGCCACCTAGACGATCTTGTAGACTCGCTTTGCAATCAGGAAGGAAGCAAAAGCGAAGAAGATCAGGCCTCCAGTAACTATTCAAGGCAATGTCAGTTCACATGACCATCTCATAGATTCCCCGAAAGAGAGCATGATGCAAGGAGTCCTTACTTGACCAAAACCACCACAAGTTATCTATGTCTTGACCGGGAACCTTGACGTTCATCCCCCACATACCGCAGATGATGTTCATGGGAAGCACAATTGTTCCGAGAACGGTAAGCTTCCCAAGAACATCTGCTGTCTGCTCTTGTCGTTCATTCATCAAGATGTTGATTTGGGCTAGATAGTTCGAATGCGCTCGTGACAGTAGCCTGTGAGACCGGTTAGCTGGCTCCATCTCCGGATGCAACGCACTCGCTGGGAAAGACTCACGTCTCGTAGTAGGTCAGGCTGCTAGTCATAGTCATAATGTGATCTTGGATATCTCCCAAATACAGCCCAATCTCGGATTTCGGCGCCACTTCCCAATGCTCGTTGCATCGCTTAGCGAACCCCTTCACAACGTCTGCCTTGTTGCTGAGCAATCGGTACATCCCCATGACTTTCTTACGGCATTCTCCCACGCGTCGCAGCATCTCGCCGGGAGCCGGTGGTTCTGGCTCATCCTCCTCATCCTCTCGGCGGTTGGGAGGGTTGTCATTGTTGGAATCCATGGGACGCCCAGGAGAGTGCATCTTCATGATCTTCTCATCGATCTCGTCTACTTCATCCTCAATAGACTGGATCAGCGGACCAAAAACATCCGTGATGTCATCGATCAGCGCATATGAGATCCAGTCGGAACTGAGGATCAGATAATCCATCAACTGGCGGATACGCCGGCGAACGTTCGCCGGGTGCGGTGTCTGCGAGAAATGGAAGCTCAAGATCCCCTCCCGGAAAACGACGATGTACATGTTCACCGGCTGCAAGTAATTCTCGCTGTTGGGATCCTGCTCAAAGGTCCGATAGTTGACAAAGTAGTAGCTTCGGAATAGCTCGACCTTCTCACGCGCCTCCTGCATCATGATATCCTCGGCCGTCAGGGCGTGGATCCCAAATGCCTTGGCAATCACGCGCATTTCCGCATCTGTCGGAGAGAGAACATCCAGCCAGAAGGTCGGACGAGGCCCAAATTTCTTAGGCTTCGGTGGTGAGACTTTGCGCGCCGGTGAAGCTTCAACTGATGTGCGCGCCTCGGACATGCCTTCGCTGATTACGGACATACCATGCTGCATCTTTGGGCCAGTGGCAGCGTTCCCATTGTGTAAACCGGCCTGTGCCGCCCTGGGTTCTTCCGCCTTGACGTTGTCCTGGCCATTGTGGTTGCAGTCGGTGAAATGGTCACTGTGAATGTTTTCGTCCTCAATGTCCTCCTCATCAGACGAAACCTCCAGTTCCGGAGGATCGGGGATGAATAACTCCCGGAAACTACCACCGGGCTGCACCAGCTCGGATATGCTTTGGGCATGAATGGTACTCTGAAACTCCTCGTTAAAATAAGTGAATCGATACGGCGCCTCGTCTTCCTCGCGCCGCCACACTCGGTACTGAGGTCTCAGTCGGCCCTCAATGAGCACGGGCTCGCTGATCTTTTTGGCGCGAAGCACGCCAGTCCGTTCCTCCTTCTCCTCCCGACTCCATTCCTCCAGAACAGACAAATCCGGCCATTCCTTGGTTCTCCGCCGCCGCCGAGCGTCCTCGCGGGACGTTCTCCGTGCATCCTCCTCGGCGAGCTCTGAGGCCTCTTCGATCGGAAAGCAAACATCCTCCTCAACCGGTAATGCGATAGTGCGGCGCCGACGAAGAGCCTCGTGAGGCGGAAGTTGTGGTGAACTGGGGGAGGACTGAGTAGAAGGCTTCGGTTGGGTGGAACGACCGTCCACGTCAATTACCATGTCATTGGGCCGAGCGCCCGCCTGGTTGCGATTATCAATCGATTTGGCGAGAGCAAAGTCAAAGTCTGCACCCGTGACCACCGCATCGTCGTAGTTCATCTCACCTCCCAGCTTCGGTGAGCTCGGGATGGAAGGAGGGTTATTAATGTCATAATCTCGATCAGGATCAGAAGTCGTGTGACCACGAGGAGAGCATCGGGACGAAGTTGACTGCACAGAGGTACGTCGCTGGCGCGATGCAAAGGGGCTTGCCTTGGCATCCGTTCCGTACCACGATTTGTTGTTATGATGGCCTGAAGATGGTCGTATCAACGGCGTATGATCATCTATTCCGTCTGATCCATCGCTGTCGTCTCCAGCATGGAAGGCCCTGGTACCGGAGGGTGTACCGCGAGAAGCTAAATCGGTAGAACGAGGCGGAATCGTCATGGATCCAGGTCGAAAGGACTGTGCCAGCCGGCTTTCTCTCCGTGGCCGCATCATGGGTTGATTTCTGCATAGATTTACGAAGGCGCATATCAGCGATGTGGAAAATGACGCGATATCCCCCCAATTGAAAATTAAACTTACCGATGATCCAGCAGAGCTTCACTCTCCAAGCTTGTACTGCTCAAATCCCTTCCCAGATTGTAGAATGGAAGCGCCGGTCGAGAATGGGGCTGATCCCCCGCTATCATGGCCTCCTCAGCACCCGAGACCGCAGTCGCAGGATGGGATTCTTCAGGCGCAAGAAAGGACTGCCGGCGATTGCGACGCTTTCGATGACGGTTCTTTCTCCGCTTCGGCTTGTTCGTCGCAGGTCGACCCTCCGATGCTGTGTCGTGATGGGTCTGTGGGGCTAATGTCTCGTAGCCCCCGGAGCTACGATAAGCTCCTGTCGCCGCAGCCGTCTCGGTCGGCTGACCATTGCTTCGCGACGACTTGCCAGAAGACATGGTGAGTCAAGGGATCTCTTTCAATCGAATATTATGGCGGCGTGAAAACCCTTGGTTGGAATCCCAGGCGTAGTGGTCAATGACGACGGGGACAGGAAGGAAACCGAACTCTGGCTAGATCCACGGAGTTACAGCAGCTTATCGTTGCAGCAACCTACATGCCTTCTGATAATTCATCGGAGCTCTCTGGACAAGATTTCACGAGCAGAGTTGTACTGTAACGAAGTCGTAGGGGATGACGCCTGTGGCGCAGTGCAGTGGAACATGGAGCAGTACAGAAACTAAAGGGTCGTTTTCATTGAGAACACAAAGTTGTGGAAGTAGGAGTGTAATGCTAAATGATTCAAGGGTCACAAAAAGCGACAACTGTACGAGAGAGGGCGATGATTGAGAAGAAAAGCAAGTAGAGAGGCACAGCAGGCGGCGGCGGTTGAGATGGCGGAGTGCCTCAGGCCGACGATGACGATGAGATCATTCGAGCGATTTGATTGGCGGCCTTGGAACCTTGCTTGAAGCTCCTGCCGATCCGTAAGAAGTTATAGAGAGGTACAGTCTGCTTGATGTCTGTAGCTGTATTCTTCTTCGTTCCACCGATAACCGGCTTCAATACTGCAACTACAACTTGCGTTTCACCTTGTGAAGCATGTCGCACATACACCCCTCGATGATTTACGAGTTAAGTAACAAAGAAACTTGCGATGGTCAATGGTCTCAACGCTGTCATCCACGAACTTTATGAATAGTCATCAGTCATCATAATCATCTATGTTAAGATACATACACATAAAGATCTTCTTTTGAACAAGATCCGAAAAGATAGCAACAAATAAAGAACAGCATATACATCATCAACAATACCGGAAGCTAGAGGCCGTAGCATCGTAAGCATATTCGTAAAAAAGAACACAAGGGAACCAAGCCTCCATGATTATCCATTACCATTTCATAACGGATCTTGTATAGATCCAGTTTCCCATTTGACCCTGACGCCTCCGGATATCATTGCCAATTAACATACCAGAACAGAAAGAAAATACGAAGATCAGCCGAGAGCCTTCAGCTTACATCAATCCATGAAGCTCAGCATCAACAAGTCGTGACCAGAGTGTGACGCCTCAGATCACGTTGCTGATATCCATGGTCGATGATGGAGCGACGCTGTGAACAGACTTGCTTCCGTCCAGGGACATGCGGTCGCTGCTGAAGATTTTGCTGGCCCTTGGATCCTTGTTGGGTCGAGCGACAAGCACCTGAGCAGGGCAGACAACTACTTCATCTTCACCCTCGCCTGTGTCGTTGCCCTTCTTTACCACTAGCGGGAACAAGACCACCCGGACGACTGCTTGCTGCGACTCCAGCTCCTCATTTGATGTTGTCTCCCCGCTGCGTTCGTTCATCAACGAGGCGTTGAAATAGACCTGCCGTGCCAGGTCCCCATTTGTGTCGTATTCAGGTTGGAGTGGCGGCAGCATAATGTATTCGGCCAGCTGCGTGCGCATCTCAATTGACAGGTTGACTGCAACCCGTAGAAGCTTGCGTAGGGACTCCAAGAGCTGCGCTTCGGCATGGCTTGGGGGTGGGAGGAGGCGCGACAGAGTCTCAAAGATTTCCAATGCAACCGCTTCTGTGTCGCTTTCACGCTGGCGAGCAAATGCCGGGCGCTTCGACAGGAGCGTAAGAGTAATCGCGCGCCAACGATGGACAGCGCTCCGTGGACCAACCTCGCTCAGCTGCTTTTCCAGGGACTTGAGTTTTTGGCGCTGCTCACGATCCATGCCAAACAAATACCGCGTGAACACAAACTCCCACACCATAGTCATCACCACAGACATGAAGACATCGCGACGACGAACGCGGTCGGCGAGGTAGGTATCTGCATCGTAGCCGTCCAGGATCGCATTGTCGAAGCGGTCCGCAATCTTCTCATCTTGTATCTCGGCAAGTTTGCGGCAGCGTCGATGGTCGGAGTGTTTGGAGAACCGCAACACCCATTGTTGCACATGCCCACACAGTTTTTGACATGCAGCGTCAAAGTAATCCTCATCGCGGAAGACGAGAACGTTGTCATGCAAGGATGCCGCAATTTGTTGTTGTAACTGCGACACCTTATCCCGAGCGGTCTCAAGCTCTTCCCTCAGCCGTCGCAGTTCGTTATCCTTTCGCGCCAGCGCAGTCTCAATTTCATGCCGCACTGTGTTCTGTACTTCCATGGAGAGCTGCTCATATCTTGAGCGCAAGTCCTCCAATTGGCGAGATGACGATTCGCGCACCGACTCAATTTCCTTGGCATGGGCGGCGGTCAGGTTGGAGTTCGTCGTAGCAAGCCCTTCGTTCTCCTCTGTTAGGCGGGTCACTTCCTTTTGAAGCCATTCCACGGAACTTTTCAGATTTTCCACCTCGGCTTCTCTGTCCCGTAGGTCGGCACTGCGCTCGTTGAGTGTATGGTCGCTCTTCCGACGGGCGACACTAGCATTTCGAAGTTTGTCCTCGGCAGCTTCACGAGCGGCAATGAGGAGTCGATTTTCGGAGATGAGTTGATCGAGACGAGCTTCAAGTTCTTGGAGGTGTTGCATACTTCGACGATGACGGATACTGGGCGGTCGGCTCGGCGAGCGAGGCGAGCTGGGCGTCTCTCCCCATCCCTCCTAGACCGGGATCAGTTAGTATTGGAAGGCCAACAATAATCGCATCTATTAAAAGAGATAACAGAATTGAATTAACAAATACTTACATAGACGTCCGTCATGGCTCGTATGGGGCGCTTGCCCTTGTCCGTGACGGGGTCGTAGGAGGAAGACGAAGCGATGCGCTCGACGTTGACATCGGAGGGTGGGGGCTGAGGAGGCTGGGGCGTATCGTGTGGCTGGGGACTGTGGCTTTCCTGTGCCTGGCTAGCTGCCCGCAAATCCCCGCTGGTGTTGCGACTGGTGCGTCGCAGCAATCGCTGCCCACCAGTCGCACTGTGATTGCTCTGCACGCTTTTGATGCTGCTCACACTGCTGGGTCTAAGGATGGGCATTCCTTGGTCCGGAGTTTTGAGTACTTCTGCAGGCCATTCGTTACCTGGCCGTCGTTTCTTGACAGCGAGTCCCGCATCCTCGTCTTCTGAGCTTCTGAGTTTGTCGTTGTCCGCTACAGGCCATGTCTGACGTGCCAATGCATTATCTGTGAACTTTCTGATCGGAGTTTCGGGACGTGGTAGAACATGGTCGGGCTTCATCTCCAGACGGGGCGTCCCGTGTTCGGAAACCATGGATCTGAATTCGCTCGCTTGCCCCACTCGATCCTCTGGCTCTTGTTCCGCGATGGGTTGTAATGGAGTACGTGGAGGTGAGCCTACATCCGCAGTGGCCACTACTGGTCCTCCAAATAGAGACGTTGTCGCCAGGGGTGGTGTCACTGCCTTGGTGATTGGTGTGTCCTCCAGCGACCATGTTAGCGGTGGGTGATGGTGTCGCCCATGAATTGACGGGCTGCGACGAAGCCCACAGGAAGAATCGTTTCTCGGAATCCGCTCGTCCCGGTCCATTTCGACGGGAGACGTTTGGCTGATAAGGGACGACTTCTGTTCATGCACAGGCAATGGTGCGTACAAGGGTGTTTCATCTTCTAGGGTCCGCGTAGCGTCGTCCTCCTTCCATCCGATTTCAATAGACTTGGCTTCGTTCCCTGGACCATCGGATATCACAGAAACATTGTATGAGGGGTCAACCTCAACGTCGACAGCAGGGTTAACTGGGGTGCTGCTTGTGTCCTGCATCTTCGTAGGCTCTTCCAGAGATAGATCCCGTGTAGAAACCGTAGTCCTTGGCTCTGGAATTTTCTCATCTTGCTGACCCAGTAAATGGCTCTCTTTCGGCTCGCCGACCGGGATAGGTGCCTCCGAGACCTGGATTGCGCTGTTGCCATCCGCATTTTGGTCGATAGTCTCATCCTCAGCCCTATCTTTTACCGACATCAATCCTTGGCCCGGAACAGGAGGTCGAAAGGATCCGCGCTCAAGATTTGGGAAGATGCTCGCAACTTTGCTTTGCTTAGACGGCACAACTTCCGTCGCGCTCTTTGCTTGATCCCATGCCAAATCGTTCTCGGAATGCTGCACAGCTTTTTCTTGGACCGTATTAGGAGCCACTTGCGAACTTACAGGTTCTGCTTTCAGTTGGGCAGACTGCTCCGTCTCGACCACCGCAGAAGGCTCTATCATTATCCCGCCTTCTTGCGGAGCAGCTTCTGTTTCGTCGGCCCCTGTATGGTGTGCACTTCCGTCGTTGCCTCCCCCTAGCTGCTCTTCACGCGATTGACGTTGTCGTCTAAACAACCCCTCTGGGATGGCAGACTCGTCAAATTCTGCAATGGCTGGCTCAAAAGGAACTGCATGAGCCTCAGGTGATGACAATGGCGTCTGTTCTTTGATTTCGACTTTACCTTTGTCCCAGTCTATTGCAGGCCAGTCATCCTCGTCAGCTGCACCTTGGTGCACCTCCGAAGCTCCAGGCTCGACCTCAAGTGATCGTGAAACCTCCACGACTATTCGCTTGTCGGAGGCAACTGCCAGAAATGGATCTTGGTCAGACTTGGCTTGGTCCTTGGTAGAAACAGATGCCCCGATAGGATCTGTTGGATTTTGCAGCTCCGGCTCGTCTGAAGGCTCGATGGCATCCTTGGCAGATTTCTTTTTGGCCTTTCTTTTCTCTTTCTTGGACAATTTTCTCGCAGCAGCTGCTGTGGGTTCAGGCTGACTCTCGATGGAATCCTCGGCAGCTTGCTGGTTTCTAATTTCAAGGCCTTGGCTTGGTTCGGCCTGGAAATTGCCCTCTTTTTCCTGCTCCATAGATAACACATCCTCAGTTTGATTGCTCACATTCGGAGTCCGCTCAAGAGTCTCTTGAGGTCGATCGGTGTCCGATGGAACCAACTGCTCAGAATTTTCAAGTTTCGTCCCCTGCTCTTCCGAAACGTTCGCCTCAGAAACATCACCAGAACTCTCCACTGGGCCAGGC